CAGAAGAGATGCCAGAAAGAATGTCAGAAAGATGTCCAAAAATGCAAGAAAGAATGTGAGAAAGACTGTCAGAAGATATGCCAGAAAGAACGTCGGAAATAATGTCAAAAGATATGCCAGAAAGAATGTGAAAGAATGTCAATGTCAGCCAGAAGGAATGTCAGAGGATTTGCCAGAAAAATTGTCAGAAGATATGCCAGAATGCCGAAATAATGTTTCAATACATGCCGAAACATTTGTCAGATTGAAATGTCATGGTGGGGATCACTCGAAGTGAACAGAAAATACAAGATCTAGAGAGAGGTCGTTGGAAGGGCCAACCGTGACAAGAAGAGACGATGAAAAACTGCAAGGGATTAGGTTGGGTGCCATGCCGCCATGCCATGAGATTGGATTGCTTGCAGTGTGCTCCTTACCCCTGCATAACGTTCTGCATAGATCCATGAGGGCTTAGATTTACAAAAGAATGGCTGCACGGTGACAGTGTGGAGGTGCAGCATCGAGCAACAAGATTTTGCATCTAGAAACGGTTTTTAAGGAGAAAGAAGAGTGCGGTGCACTGGTTTTGGGTCTGTCCAGCTTGGAGCGGCATTCAGTGTCAGTATGCTGAGAACCATCAAGTACCTATCTGCGAGCACGTTGGCACTGTCCATAGGGTTGCTTGCATTTAGGATTCCTGTTGCCTGTTAGCGGTTTTTTCTGCAATGTTTCAGGAGAAGTCAAGCACGGGTTTTCTAAAGGGAAACAATAGCTTAGCAATCGACAAAACCAAGCTCAAAGATGGTTGTGGTAGAGGTTGTTGTTTTGGTGATGGTGGTGGTGGGTCACTTTAAACATCTTTAAACTTACTGTAGTCAGTTAACAATTTTGAGTTACAAACCAAACTGGGTGAGAAAAAACCTTTCCGCCCCGCACAAACTGCTCAGCGGTTGAGAATAATTGTTTCGGGGCAATGTTTTCTTTGGCCCTCCCCATCGAAGATTCGACACTGGTTCCAGACTCACACGTGTATGAACGTCGTACTTCTTCGCAGATGCCGTGCCATCGGAGGCTGATGAAAGATGATGAAAGATCTTCACATGAAACGAAAATCATCGAAAACATCGTTGCTGTTCCTGGATTTTCCCTCGACCTTGACGGCTCCGCCCAGGGTCCATCGCTTCCGCCGCCGCATCCACATCCGCCGAAAGGTGGCGCGTTGCGCGGCGTTCGACTTGGGGCGGTTGGCGCGCACATTCCGGAGGGGCGTACGGTGAGGATCATGATTTGCCTAGAGCAAACCAATCTTTGGTTATATAGTCAGTGATGTTCCCTATACTGTTACTTCAATTGATACTGGTTAGGATTAGTAAATAGTGCGCATTTCGGCAAACGTGGACTTTTGATAGAACACCATACAAGTCATATAAACACCGGTAGACCACCACAATTTGTGTGTATATCATATCTATACCATGGGAGCTGGAAATTATCGGAACGGGACCGCAATACAAATTGCCTCCAAAATACAATGCTCGTTCCTCTCCCATGTTTAATTGTGAACTGCTAAAACCGAGCCTCAATTTCAGCCATTGCCCAGACTTCATAAGGAACCTTCCGCAGAAAGTCGTGCCTTTTTGGCAATCGCAAGGGAGTGGATGGGAAATGCAGGATTTGTCCAAACATAGCTTTGGAGAGGAGGTCGAAGGTACATGTTGTGTTTCCATTGAATGGGGAACAGGACACATATGGTTGGGATATTCTTTGACTTGAGTGACCTCACATGTGAATGTCACATTGCCTTGGCATCTAATACTGTAGTAATCAAGAATGTCCGGACACAAGCAATTTCACGTGCGCACATGTTTGGTACATGGATCTACTCGTGGCATCTCGCGCCTGGTTTCTGCAGATGTGGAGCTTTCACGACCCGTTTGGGACACCGGCACTGGAGGGGGCGAACCCCCGTCGCGAACCGTCGCAAGGTGGAAGGCACCTCCGCCCGACCGCGGCTGGCGGTCTTCCGCTCGAAGACGCACATGCCACGCGTCTGAATTGAGAGCGGATGGGAGCGGTTGGGACCCGGTTGGGAGTTCGGAGGTTGGGTTCGTTGGGTTCATTGGTGGTGGGTTTTTTTGAGCGAAATTCTCGAAGATCTGACGAAGGAGAAACGTCATAGGAACGGGCATGATCACATTTTTTGTTGGTGTTCTGATTCTCAAAGTCCAGTTCGACCAGATTTGGTAGCAAAATGTAGCAAGGAAGGTGGTCCTCTTTCAGATCACCACGTCAGACCAAACCGTGAAGAAGGTGTTCTCCGGAGTGTAGGGTTTAGGGTGCGTGTTCAATGTCCGGCATGTCACGAGCGTTGGGAAGATCCAGTGAGAGCTTGCAGCCTGCCATCCCAGTCAGCCCTGGGGCTGGCGCATGACTCATGGGGTGGCACACCATCGGTTTTCTCACCCCCGAGTTGTCTACAAAAGGTAGATGCCCCCCAACACAGATGTAGATGTAGTCTATTCTTTTTCTTTGCCTTGCTTGATATCTTTTTGTTGCGGGGTGACCCTGTAGTAATATCCAGCCTATTTTAGCTATTTTGGCTTCAGCGTTCTATTCGCACATTTCACAGACTGAGGCATGCCCTGGTCGTTGACGACACCATTGGAACTGGCGTGGTCATGGCACACGTCCGGTCACACTTTCTGCGCGCGCGCGCGTCTCTGCGTGTGGCAGCGCGTCTGTCTTCCGAGAGGGTGGACATGGTGAAAGCAATGCGAAAGACTTTGGATCCAATATGTGGAGCCATGTTCCATGTTTCAGGATGCATCAGAATTCTGCAGATTCTCATGCAGTTTTCAAATTTCTGTAGAATGCTACAGTTAAGATCATTTCAGACCCAGATCCTGATGTTGAGGAAAGGCCCCATTTCGGGTGGCTTGGTGTATTCCTACTTGGCCCAAGAGTTGTGACGACCTTTTTGGTAGGTACAGTCTTTCGGAGTCCGGGTTTTATGGAATCGGATTCGCCTCATTTTTTCGATTCCAGGAATGATCTGTAACATTGGAATGGTTTTTACTCCCAGCAACATGTCACATGCTCAAGCGGAATGACATAGAAAACCCATCTCATTCTTTCCGGGAATCCCCTATCGCGTCGCAGATCTTCCAAGTCGTCATCGCCCAGGGTCTCGCGGTGAAACCCGCCCTTCGTCACACCCCGCAGAGCGCCGAACGAATCGGCTTCTTCGTCGCCCCGGAACGGCAAGGTGACCTCCAAACAGGCGGCTGCAGCGGAGAAGATCCGCAGCAAGCAGGGTGCCGAGCTCAGGCAGCTGAGGAGCATCCGAGCAGCTCACCGGTGGCCAGTGCTTGGAAGTAGGATCTTTCACGATTGTTCTTGGCTAACACTAATTATGTTGGAATTAGGACCCTCAGAACCACTGCTTTGTAGGACGAAGGGAGAGAAGAATTTGATGCCGGGTTCCGTGAACACATCTCGTGGTTCTTGGGCACCATTTGCCAAGACTGAAAGAACAAGGGTGACTTTTTTTCTTTATCACGAAAGGTAGCTTGAGCTACCTGAGTTCTCCTTGCTTGAGCAAAAATGTATTACAATCAGGAGTTGGGATTGTGCATTGAGTTTGGTCCTGTAAGAGTTGATTCTGTTCGTCGGGGAAGGGGGGGGGCCCCCCCCGGATCAAATCCCCCCTGCGCCGGTTCACGCCGTCATATGAACAAGGGTGAATATCAATAGGGGAAGCCCCAACCAATGGGTTTGCGGCTTTGCGTCTTGACGAACACCCGTATTATATAGGTGCCACTGGAAGTAACCCCGGTCATCGTCGCAGACCCAACCGATGGGTGTTGGGTCTATTTCCAATATTTCCCTTCTTCAGGGGGTCGTTGCCTGGGAGGTCTCCCATATTTTAATACACTAGGAACAAGGACGCTACTAGGGGCTCCTGGCCGTACTACTTATAGGAGCAAGGACGCCACTAGGGGCTCCTGGCCGTACTACTAGGAGCGAGGACGCTACTAGGCTAGGGGCTCCTGGCCGTACTACTAGGAACAAGGACGCTACTAGGGGCTCCTGGCCGTACTGCTAGGAGCAAGGACGCTACTAGGGGCTCCTGGCCGTACGTACTACTAGGAACAAGGACCCTACTAGGGGCTCAAGAACTGACTGGTGCCACGAGTTCGTAGGGAATGACACGACTGGCTGGATGGTCTCAATCGAGGCGAAACACTCTCGGTTCCTGAGCCGAAACTCAATCGTCGTGCCAGTTCAAGCTTCGTCCTTTGCTTCCTCCATACGATCTCTACAGAGAAATCAGAGTTTCTACATGCTTTAGTGACCTGCAGCCTGCAGGCTTTTTGGACACTTTGGACCCTCTCAAACTCAGGGGTATCACAAGGTCACTGAAAGAAGACATCAGGGGGGAGGATATCCGTGATTTTTACCATATAGTTCATATATATATATATAGATGTTTGGTGAAGATGGAGTCACATGTCACATGACATTAATCCTGCACTTCTAAAATCATCCACATCGCATTTCTTATAGCATTTTTAGACGACAGCTTTCGGGTGGGTCGCATACCCCCCACATACGACCCTATCCCCAAGTCCGGTCGTGCCGATCCCCGGCCTACCTCGCCCCAGGCTGTGGGAAGGGCGAGGAGAAGACTTGGTCCATCGAAGCAGCTGAGGTCATAGGCCCACCGCACCGGAGGTTTCGGTCGCTCGACTCGCGAGGTGGCGGTAGAGGTGGAGAGGTGGGGGGAAATTCCCAGGGGAGTGGGGAAGGTTAGATGTAGAACATTGGTTTCAATCAAGAGATGCAGCCCACATGCTGCTCTTTTGCCTCAGTTGCAGAGACTTCTAGAGCTGCAAAGATGATGAGCTGCCCAGATCTTAGCCTTGGCTCTAGTGAAGATCAAGAGCCCCAAGAAGGGAACTTCTTCCGTGTCTTGACACCGTGAGCCCGGTGTCTTGACACCGTGAGCCCGGAATTTTATCAGGTATATATTTGTCCATACCAAATCAGGTATATATTTACAGAAAGGAGCGCTCTGAGCGGCGCGTTTTTGCATTGTTTCATTTTGTTTGTATTTTGTTTCTATATTTGTATTGCGTTTCTATTGATTTTTGTGCCACTGAAAGAATACTATTCTGCCTCAACCCCCCCCCCTCCCCCAAAGGTAATTTCCAAAATTCCAATTTTCCAAAATTCCAATTTTCCAAAATTCCAATTTTCCAAAATTCCAATTTTCCAAAAAAACCAAAGAAACCAAAAAAACCAAAAAAACCAATTGTGCCAGGACTTTGCCTCACCCCCTCTTCCCCCCATGGTCTGTGCAGAATTGTTTTTTTTGTTTTTTTTGGTTTCTTTGGTTTTTTTGGAAAATTGGAATTTTGGAAAATTGGAATTTTGGATTTTTTGATTTCCTGGGATGTTTTAAATTTTCAATTTCCTTGGAAGTAGACAATACTACCACTTTCTCTCAAATCCAGAACAGTCTCTGAAACCCTCAGTGATTTGTTCATTAGGGTCTAATAATGCTCCTTCTGCTCCTTTAACTCGAAAATTGGTAATACCTGACATTTTAGAATTATAACCAGTAAAATTGACATCTGCAATTTTTTTCAAATGACATACCAATAATGAATTTGTTCTTTCTGTATTGACGATACGAAAAACTTAAACTGTCATGTACTGTATAGCTCTTCTTAAATAGTAAAAGATTTATGATAATGATTGCGCTTCAAATTCTGTGTATTTCTGGGAATTGCTTAATTGAATTTGCCAACTTAAACTACGGGTGGCATCTTGAAAACCTTTGTACCTTGTAAGTCATTTGTATCAGCATTACCAGTATCATTAATTCTTCCATAGATCATAGGATTAATTCCATCTCTTATATACATAATTGTCAGGTAAGTATCGGTTCAGTTCTTCACCACTCCTTGGAGTTCTAAATAAGGTAATGAATGCTCCAGTCAGTTTAGAAGATGATTTTACAATATTCATATTAATTTCACCACCACCAGCATTGAATGTTTGGGTGATTGTGTGATAACAATTTGTAATGTTTCTTATCTTTGCCATTCCGCCCCCTTCTATGTCCTGCCATTCTAACACTCAATGGCTGACAAGTAGCACCAATATAGACATCGTCATTTTGTCATTTAGTATTCTGTAAAATTTTGCCTTGGAGTAATCCACCATAACATTACATATTTTAACTAAGTTTAAATGTTGTTTTTTAAATGAGTGATTGGGGTTAAATCCATTGCTTATATTGGTGCCGGGATTGATGTTCCAAAGGCCGTTCCCTTTAAAATTGATATAGCTGTGGCTCATTAAAGGGTTAGGTTCTTTCAAATCAGAAGTTACAGCGTAACCATCCAACATTGAAACAATATCGGATGGATTGAGGTAGTCAAGTCTTTTGGGACTTTTGTTCCTTTCCTTTTTGTTTTTATTGTAGGGGTAGCATAGGTTGTTGTAGCAAATGTATTAGGTTGTTCTTGATTGATCTTATTACAGCACTTGCAAGGTTATGCCCAACCAAACGGGTTATTTCTGGTGACTTTTCCAATTCTTCTATAACATGTTTGTATTTCTCACTGTGATGAACATTTCTAGTAGGTACTAATAACAGATCATCCATAATATCCCTTGTTAAAGATCCATCACAACCACCTGTGCCACTTATGTATAAAGTCTTACTTGTTTTGTAAAAAGCACTTGGTGATGAATAGGCATTCCATAAGCCCCTGCGGTCTTCTATCTTCTCCTTGTTTGCTATATTTTTCTCTTCAGCATATAGTGTTCTATGTTGTTTAAAGTGATCATTTAAGTTTCTTGTAAAGTCATTCATTCTATCATTCCAATTTTGGTTCTTTTTTTCATAATCACTGTAGGTTTCTTGACCGATCTTACTGAATAACATCTGGGCGCTTCCAGGCAGATCCTTCCAGGCAATGTCAGACACATCAATCATTCTCAAGAAAACGCATGAAAAAGGTTGAAAAATGCTCATTTTCATCGAAAAACGCGCCGCTCACAGCGCTCCCCTCTCTATATTTATCAGGGATCATACATGCCATATGGGATGTAGACCACAAACCCATACCTGGACAATACCAAATTGGTGAGACACAACCCATATGACAGGACTGGTATTGTATCACAGGACTCATGGGACTGGCAGATCTACACTCCTTGGAACTCACATGGAAGTGGAAAAATGACCTCTTGGAAGACCTTTTTCCTTTACAAGCTGGCAGTTTTCCACTTCCATGTTAGTTCCAGGGAGTGTACATCCATTTGGGATGGTTGATTTTCAGGGGTCTGAGGTATATATATATATATATTCCAGTTCCATGGGTCGTGTCAGCGACGAAAAAGAACGTGCAGAGACCGAGACCGGGCAGGTAGAGACCGGGGTTCTTCCAGTCATTGTCACAATTATAGGCTCCCAAGTTCTGTCAAATACACTTGGTGCCCATGATACTGTCATTAGATACGGTTAAGTTATATCATTGGATGGTTGATTGGTGGTTACGTTTGTTCGGGCTCCGTTGTCAGGTGAAGAAGTCGCGAAGCAATGCACGGCGACCTAAGCCGCTGCTCGGGAAGAGGTCCTGACTGCTGGAGCCAGCGGTGGAATAGGCCGTCCTTGTGGGTTCAGTGACTGACCTGCAGGGACTGGACTGGTGAGCGATTCTCACCTGGATCACTTGCGGTCATAGATTTCTTTCATATGGGGGTCCATTTTGGAACCACCGAACTTGATCAGTTATGCCATCGAAGCTCTGAAAACCACTGTAGATCACTTCGATGAAAGTCATGGTCTCAGAATCAGCTCCAGCCGATTCTAGTGCCTTCCTTGCAACTCAAGCACCGGAACATACTTCCTTGAACCACCAACTGGCCATTCTTGGTAGAGCCTCGAAGTTGTATGTTACACCATCTAAGACCAGTCTATCTATCCAATTCGCTTTGGAACTCCCCGTGCTCCTTCCTTCGGAACCGCCCATCCCCCGCCGGGCCCGCCCCCGAGGCCTGGACAAGGGCATCACCATGGTGGTCTTCGACCGCGGGGGCTTCCGCTATGAGGGCCGAGTGAAGGCACCCGCTCGCTCCGCGCGGGCCACGCGTTTGGGTGGGGCGGTGGAGTTGGGTGGAGGGCAGGTGTGTGCAGTGCTTGGTATTTGAGCTGGAGGGTGGGAGGCCTTCCAAGTTTGAGAGTCGGGGGTATATTATGGGGTTATGCAAGAATGGAAGAATGTGGGATATCGTAGGGATTCGTAGGGTGTCCAGATTTTCTCCCTTCCAGCTACACCTGGTACTAAGGTACTAAGGTTAACCCCTTGGAAAAACAGGCGATGTGAAGAAAGCTCCAATGATTGAGGGTTCACCCCCTCGATGTGGATTGGGCGAACGGGTTCCCAGCGAGCTTGAAAGATTTGGCAAGGGTGACCTGGCGGGTCTTGTAGCTCGGCTCATTCCTCATTGGATCCAGTCGCTCGTGTACATATCACCCCAGCTTAGCACTGGTGGTCTCCAGCTCTGTTTGGCCTCCAGGCTTTGGCTGAAGCAGCGCGCACCGGTGGTCTCCAGTCCGGCCAGCTCAGTGGTGCGGACGGTACCGGATTGAGGGAGGCCCACCAGGCGCCCTGGTGCTCATGGCCTCCAACCTCAAAGCGATGGCCTCCACCCTAATTAGTAACGATGGTCCATACTGCGCGGGTCTTAAAAAGATAGGGAAAGAGACCAGTTTGACCCGTTGGAAGAGTCGGGAAATAGACCAGTCTACCCGTTTGTTTGATGCTTTCGGCCCTAACCCTTTGTGGCTTTTTTGGAATCGCTTGGAGAACAAACAGCTTGCAAAGTCAGATTTGGTGTTGGCCACAGAGGGTCAGACACGTTGTCCACAGAAAGCCCTAGATGAATGAATGAAACTGAGAAATAGCATATCAATTAAGCAAGACCCAGTAGAGAGGAATTCTTCGGTATGTCCAGAGCGAGTCGTTTCCTTGTCCGCAGAGCTTTCCACATGTCCACCATTGATGAGAAATCTGAATATTAATTCTTTCTACCATATTCTGCATGTACTATAGCTAGATGACACTCGGAGCGTCCAACTTCTTGCAACGCACTCCAAAGCCCCAGATCCGATGTGCTGAATTTTCCGACAGCGCGGGCAATGTCTATAGTCACCCTTTGAAAGTCATCAACATCCAGTGTACATTTCAGATTCTCCAGAAAAGATCTGGCTGATCGCAAGATAGAGATCATCAAAGACCTCTGACCTCCAGGGTCACTTGCGAGTACCAAACCGGTGCAGTGACCTACTGTAGATCATCCAACAGCTTCCAACCATAGTAACGGTCCATTGGACAAGTCAAATATGTCGCTATCTACTTCATCAGTGTGAATCAAAAGTCCAATTTGGTCACCTTGCACGATGGCCCGCGCTTAATCTCGAGCCCTGGTTTTCTGGAAGAACCGACCCGACGGAGGCGTTTCGACCCGACTCGTCTTCCGACACGTTTCGAACCACCGACTCGACGTTTTCCCGTGATCCGAAGTGGATAAGTCGCCCGACTCATCAGCCACTTGAATGAAGTAAAGAGGCAAAGTGTGACTGATCCTTCAAGTAGCCTCCAGTCACACGAATTGCGGCCTCCAACCCCACACGAATTGCGATGGCCTCCAACCTAGGACGCAATGGCCTTGAACCCCAAGGGCGCGATGCTAGTCGCGATGGCCTCCAACCTACTAGCAATGGCCTCCAACCTAATAGCAATGGCCTCCAACCTAATAGCAATGGCCTTCAACCTACTAGCAATGGCCTCCAACCTTCAAGTTTTGATGTTCATTTTTCATAATCTTTCCATCCCACAAACCTCGGACTTGGGGTTCGCCCTGCCAAGGTTCTGAGGTCGAGTTCGCAGCCTTCGAAATCGAGCAAAAAGGCTGCAGAAAACTCTTGGAGGGTCTCAACGGGGTTCGAACTGAGATTGACCTTTGAGGAAACAAGTAAAGACAGAATCCGCTGGAAGCTATCCAACAAAGCCTGGAACTAGCCTTTGCGCAGAAGTTGGAACGATTCGATGGTTCTCATGCATCACTCTCAAGGAGGTTGACAAAAACTTCTGAAGCCCCTTTGGCAAAATCTTGGTTGCTTCGTTTAGTTGGCTGAATGATGGAGATTGTGTGTTCTTGTCATTGGTTTGATCATGTTTGGTCCTTGTATTGATATCATGTAACATCCTTTAGCGGTGCCATCACTGGTGGCATTGCAGAGGTTGTGGGAGCTGCAAGACACGCTGAAGCATTGTGTGACACGCAAGTCACTTGTGTGAACCTTTTGAGAGGGGGGTGTCGGTGGTTTTGGTTTACATCCCCAAATGGGCACCCATCTCCTGAAGTTCTGCCTGGGGCCTGGCATGCGTTTCTCCGACGGGAGACTGCCCCAATTGGTACATTGCTGTGAGGATGTGATTGAGAAGGCCGAATTTTGCTATGAAGACTCGAAAGATCAAATGTACATTGCAATGCAGCTGTTCATGTATCTCTAAGGTTATGCTTTCAGGATGCCAAGGAACAACTGGACTCCTTCAATATTGACCACAAAAGACACTATATATCATATTGGAGGTGCAAGATATCTTATAATTGTTGGACTTGGATTCTTGCAATTTTCTACTTATTGATCTTGTTGTCAATTGTGTCGCCACTTGTTTTCGTCACGTCCAATGCTAAATAAGCTGTTCTTTTCTGGGCCGCTGGACAGCTCTATTCTGTCTATTCTGACTCCTCATTTTTTCCCGGGAGCTGACTGCAGACTGTGGCCAGATTGGTCGGAGAAAGCTTTTGGGATCAATTGTTGGGATTTGGTTCTCTACAGAGACCAGATCACCTCTGACCTTTTTTCTCCTTACAAAGAACATCGAAGGTGCCCCGAGTCCGACTGGGACAAGTCTCTGGTGCACATGGACAAGTCTCCGTTGTGTTCGAGGCTGTGACAGCTCAGGAACAACTTTTCATTGCAATGTCAGCACAATTCCCGCAGTGCCAAAGGACATTTTGTCCGAAACCACAACAGATCATTTGACGGAACTCACCTGGATATTTCCATCAACAGCGGTGCACATTGCAACCAGAAGAGGGGTCGAGATTCGGAAGAGCGGCATTCCGCAGCCAAAAAGAATAGCCTCTCGCTCATGGGGGATTCCGCAGTCTTTGTTTCATTCGTTTGGTATGCACCAAAGACATAGCTGCGGCCCGTTGATTAAGGGCAGTTGGGAAATCCCCACAAGCACCGTGGTTTCAGGCTTTCCTACTCATCCATGTGCTTTTTGGTGGACATGCCGGATTCTTTGACACCCAAGTCTAGCTCGGGACCTAATGAAAAACATCGAAGCAACTCTTGAAAAATCTGTGCTGCATCAGCCACGACTGGAGCCACGGCTCTGGTGGGCGGAGTTCCGCCATGGCTGAAGGCTGGGAAGCGCGTGGAAGGGAGGTGGAAGGGATCTCTGCACTCAATGAGGTACGGAGAGTGTTTTGTCCTAAGTCTTGACTGAAACAACGAGCTCATCGCCCTACAGACCCCCAAGAAAAAATGCATAGAGGCAGCCACAGACCACAGAGGTGATAACATATTGTAAACATATTCACGGACATAGATGTTTCAGCAGTTTCAAAGGGTTGCTTCATGGAGGATACGTAGGGGTGCCCAGAACCTCCAATCACGGAGCGTCTAAAAAGGAACCCCTTTGGAACTCCTGGTCTGTTCATGTGGGGGATTGGTCCCCCGGTCGTCCACGCCGTCCACGCTTGAGCAGACCGTCCTCGCCGGTAGGTCAACTCGTCGCTATGCCGGACCCGCAGCCGTCATTGGGCGCCAGGCATGATGGAGTTGGAGGATGAGGGCGAGGCCCGTCTCAGCACAGCGTGTGCAGCGTGCACGGCGATCGTCCAACGTGGCTACGTGGTCCACAAAGTGACCATTGGTGCGAAGATGAAGAACCTCAAAGACACACGCGGTTCTATTTATTATGCTTGTTGAGACTGCTCAAAGAGTGTTTCACCAAATTCAGCTGGACCCGATGCAAAAGATCTCACTATGAGTAATATGCCTGCATGGACTAAAGGGACTAGATAGCCATCGATAGTTATCGATTGTTTTCTTTTTCCCGCGTGGATGGATTGTCCGCCAAGCGTGCTTCATTCTCTTGCTGTGTGGCAGAATATTTGGACGGAAGAGTATTTTTTAAATCAGAGTGTTTTGCTTGCCTTCTGCTTTTGCTTTCGCTTTCGCTTCTGCTTCTGCGTTTGCTTCTGCTTTTGCTTCTCCTTTTCCTTCTGCGTTTAAAGCATGCCCTAGTAGTTCCTCTCTCCTCTTTCCTCGCTGCTTCTCCTCCGCTTTTTTCTTCCTCTCCTCTGTCACTGTCTCCAAGAAAAACATACATTGAACACATCAGAAAAATAAGATCCACCCATATTTGACACCTCCCCACAACATCATAAGTAAGCCACCTCGAGAAACGATTCTTTTTCTAAAAGCACAGACGACACCCCTGGGAGTCCAAGACTATTATTGACTAATAGTCTTTTGACTTCCAGGACTTGCAGGGATGCCATTCTTCTCATTTTTTCGTGCTTCCTCGGCCCCCCCCTGCGGTCGCGGTCTGTTGACCCCTTCCCGTGCGCCCACGGGGTCCATGGCACTCGACGACGACTTGGCGTGAGTGAGTCCACCGGTTTGGAGGGGTTTTCGGAGGTTTTCTTTTTCCGCTGGTCTTCTTCTCCAAGACCTGCCTGAAACACCCACCCGGGGGTGACGGACAAGGACGGACGGGGTCGAGATCTGGAGGCCGAAGATCTGGAGGAGTTGGGCTCGTTGATCTCCTTCGCGAACTTGGAACATGTGGTGAAGCCGGGGGGCGAAAGTCTCTCTTTGGGGAGCGAACTTTTGACCAATTTTTTCGGGAGCTTGAAACAATGCGGAAGGCACGACGCGTAAACGGGTGTTGGTGTGTCCTTTGGTTTTGGTCGGATTGAAAGGTCGGCTTAGAGGACAGGCGATCCAGAGACTTCGACAGGGACCTCGAAGAGATCTTCAGAATTGATGCAATCTTTACGGTGATCCTCAAAGCAGAGGTCAAAGACACAGATCGGATCAAAGGATACTGAGCTCCGCAAGGTTGTGCTCAGTGTAGCGAGCTTCGAAGACTCTCGGGGGTCAGCATGATGCCCATTGAAAAACACCCACTTTCTTTCTAGTCTGCTAGCTAGTCTGCTAGCAGAGACTAGGACCGAAGTCGGGTGGATCTTCTTTGCACCAGGGACTTTCACCGCGGGGCCCCCTAATTACGCAGCGAACCAGCCAAGTCCTCCGAACTCGTGAGGTGGCACCGTGGCGCCACGCGAGCGTCGCCGCGTGTGTGGGAACGTGCCGCGCCGAGGCACATCATCCGAAAGTTCAAGGCCTTGGAGCCTGGTACTCAGCAGAAAGGGTAGAAGGGGGGTGGAACTGGGGTTATTCAAGTGATTCTTTTTGAAGGCTTTGTTTTGAAGGTGTCCACTGATTTCAAGAGTATACATGGCAATGAACAGACTTACAAACACACGATTCATCTATTCTGAATGGAGATGATCATGGGTGCAGACATGTTCAGGGATCTTTACACTGTAAAGGACTATGACTATAACTTTTTCTTGTAGCATGTGCATCTTCTTCATTCTGAGGGCCTATAACGAGAGCAACGACGCTGTCATCAACAGCCTCAAGGACAATTTGGAGGTGAGCTTGTCACTGCAAAGAGTCTAACACCAGGCACCCAGGGTGCACCAGACTCTGAGCACCCTGAGTCACTGGAGGTGCTAAGAGATCAGGGTGCTGCATCTTCTGGTGCTTTCCGCTTCACAGAGTCTAACACCAGGCACCAGGCACCCAGAACCGCCCGTTTCGCGTCATCGAGCCGAAACGAGCAGAGCGTCATCGATGCGTAGAGCAGGCGTCCACGTAGAGCAGGCTTAGCTGGGGGAAAGGCTTTCTGCTGCTGAGCAGTGCTGGGCAGTGAGTATTTGAAGGGCCCGACCCTTCCCCAACCGGCAACCCCTTCAGCCAAAGCAGCGAGGACGACCTGCTGTGGTTGTTTTGCCCAATGGAATCACCTCCCGACAGCTTGGTTTGCATCTATTCTTGATTGTCCAGGTCCAACAGTTGAGTTTCTCCCGAACCATTTGCGAGCTTCTCCAACTGTTGTTTCCAATCCCACTCCCTCCTTGACGGCTTTTTTGCACGCACGAAGTTCCAACGGAGTCCCACCTCCTGTTCCTTTCGTCTTCACATACCGGAAGTGCGCGTGCACTCGCTTCTCCAGACGCGCGCCACCATCTTCGGACTGGAGGAGGCCAGAGTTCGCTGACCCGGCGTGGTGAACCACGGTCTGTCGTAGCAAAATGGTTGGATTCACTTCCCCTCATCAAAGACTTGGTTCAGAGAAAAGATAAAAAAAGTACAAAAATGGTACAAGCATCTCCTCTCCTAAGATCGGATCATATCTCATCGTTATCTCATCTATACATTTGATACATGGTGTTTATTTCATCGTATTCTGATCAGAATTAATCGCGCCTGAGACCTTTTGACCCCTCTGAATTGCAGCAAGGTTCGTCACACGAGATGGTGATGAAATTCCTGCTGAGCAGCACTAGCTGCTTTCGAAGTAAGTAGAGACATTTGGCATCATCTGGTCCACTGAATGATGAATCCGGGAGAGTACTGTGTAAATAATGACTTTTCATTTTTTTGGAGGCTTGGGTTCTAATTGAATGTAGACTTGGAGCCTTTTAACATGTTTACTTTCATTCCACTTGGGATGCACCTCATCTGGAACTCACAAATTCTAGAGTGGACCTCCTCTTTACTAAATATGTCCCATGCAACAAGAGCTTGTCATTGACCTTTCCTCCATTATTGCCGTGCGAGCATCCATTGAGACTCACACCGGCAAGACACGACGTGATCTGCACTTTTCGTGGGTACCCCGGATTCAAAGTTTCGGTATTTTACGAAACCCAGGTGAACCCATTCTTTCCAGTCCCCCATGTCCAACCAATCACCAACCCCACCGAACCATCTGGGAATCGGGTTCCATTTGCCGCAGAGCGCCAGGCAGCCAATGAGTTGTCCGCGCGCTTGGACACACAGCAGGAGAGCCTCCTCCATGCCAAGGCGCCGTGCATGGACGTCGGCCGTGACGCCGGAGACCAACCGGGAGGGTGGTAGGTTGGTAGGTGGTCCAGGGGGATGCGATGTGGGATTCAAGGGGAAATCCCATGAACCAGGCGTCACAAAGGAGCCCCACAGTCACGAAGGGTTCCTGCGCTGATTTTGGATCCTTTAGGCATTTGGCCTTATGGTGCCGATTGCATGGTTTGCTATGCCTTCCTTGGATTCCAATGTCGCCACTGCTCGAAACAGCAACTTCGAACGTGAAAGAAACGATATATATATATATATGGAAACGGTCACTAAAGCGGTCCCCAAGTAGATAGACACAATTTCAACTAAGGCATGATTTGCAGAGGACACATTTTCTAATGTGTACACTGTAGCCTGATAACCTGATTCTATTTGCTTAATCCATGCTGGTGTCCAACAAGGAGCGGCAATTTAAAAGCCATCTACATTGACTAATAGCAGTCATATATAGAAACACTGAATTCAGGTACTAAACACTTTGCATTTTGCGATCAACCACTTGCGATGGCATTTACCTGGGAAGTGCGCCGCTCAAGGCAGTCAGCAAATGTGGCATACTACTTCAAACGTGGTGTGGAAAATGTGGACTCCGAGAACCCAAACTTTCCATGGTGCTGCGAGGACGACAGCACGAAGAAGCCGAGGCGTTTCCACAACTTGATGACGGGTGAGAATCTGGAACTTGCCGCTCTGCCGGAGCAGCCTGGAGACGCTCTGCCGGAAGGTTGGTCTTGGCAAAGATCCAGGCAGACTCGGAGAGTGTACTTGTACAATCGAGCTCTCAACCTCTACATCTACCCGCGTGTGGATGCTGTCGCTGTGCCTGCTCGGTCTCGTTCACCGCTTCGGGAGCCGCTACCGCGAGCGCTGACACGCCCGGAGGACTTTGTGCTGCTCAAGGACTTCACCGGCTTCGTGGCCGAGGCGTTACGTGGCCCGGAGTCCACAGAGGCTCGGTGCCGGGACTACTGGCTGGGGGGCGTGAACTGCCTCTTGCCGGACATGCTCTCCTTCGGGATCTGGGCTTCCAGTTATCAGGAGGATTTCAGGCACGTGTTGTGGCTTGCTGTCCTGACAGCTTGGCTTGGATGTGGCGGGCCTAGTTTTGCGGTTATGAAGAGCCTTTTGACCGGCATGCCCTACTTGGATGTGGCGCCACCACCCCTGCCACGACCAGTTCAAGAAGCCGAAAACCAAGTCAGGTCTTTTTATAGCTGGATCGAGCATCTGAAGAACAAGTCTAGTCACAGTCAGGTGTTTTCGGGAGATGGGCTTTCGGTGAAATTCCGCCTTTGCAAGGGAGTGCAGATGTTGATCTCGTGGCACAAGGCAGTGATCCACGCCAGTGACCAACTCGAAAGGCTTACTGGTTCCACCTCTAAGTCGGAGATTGCAGGCTTTCTGACCAAGAATCCTCTTTGGCTGGATGCATTCTTGACAGAAGATGCTCCGGGACTGGGACAATTGACTCGCAAGGAGGTTTATGGCTATGTCGGCATGTTCTTTCCCGGTCTGCTCAGCGGTGGATGCCCTTGGGGAAAACATGCCCTCTTTGGCTATTCCTTTGCAAAAGGCGGGCAGAAGCCCCACAACATCGCCGACGAAGACACAGCTAATTCTGGCACTCAAGCTCTATTGACCTGCATCAACCATGAAAATGGGCGAACTTTGCAAGAGGCCCTTCTGCGTATCCCAAAGTCCCTGCGGCAGAGCGTGCCGATCTTCAACTGGCAGTGGCAATTCGGATTTACATGCCTGGATTTAGAAATTGATTTCTGCTGGTTCCACAACTTTGCCACATGCAAGCCGTTACAAAGCTGGGCCGGCTTCAAAGTGAGCGCCTGGACAGAGCTGCAGAAACGCTTGCAGTCGACTCTCGACTACACACAACGGAGCCCCTCCTGAGAAGGCGAAAAAACGGAGCGCGCAACGGGCGAAAAAACGGGGTTTGGGAGGGTTCGTGTCATTGGAACATCAAATATAGAAGGTAGTTTGGACATGTTTGGAAGATTTTGGAAGGTATTTCTGTTTGAGCCCCCCAAAGGCCCAAAGGGCCATCAAATCTCGACAATCTCTGCTTAATGTACGGACATATACTTTGGGTATACGGATTCAGTTGTGGGGAGTGTGCAGATTCCGAGGTGATATGGTTGATTCTGTTGAACAGTTCGATATTTGAGGAAACGCAGCCAACTGGAGCACTGAGTCGCTTGACGAGTCTGAACACCCGTCATCGAGGCATCTCGAGCGGATGGGAACAGTGCTTTCGGCTGACAACTGTTTTTAGGTCAGAGGTTCCGAAGACGAAAGCTCCAAAATCTGGAAATAGATGGAAATAGACACCATCTAAACATATCTAAACACATCTACTCCGCCGGTGGACGTCCGCTTACACCTTCGTCACGCGGTTGAACGTTTAGGACCACCTGGGCGAGAGAGAGTAGAGAGACGGACGAGACGGTGCAGTCGAGTCGACAGAACGGAAGCTCCTGGACCCACGGTACCTCCGCCAGGAAAACATCACCCTTTGCGAGGAAGGCATCGACCGGCTGAAGGCGAGCGCTGAACGCACGCCAACTCGATGTTGTTCGGCGGGTTCCGAGGGTCCCTGACGAAGGGAAGGGATTCACCAGCTGTTTTTGGCAGAAACTGAATGTGTTAAGACCAATAGGTTACTGTTCTGGTTGCACGTTCTTTCCACCATAATGAGGACCATTGTTTTGGTATTTTCCAGTGTTTGTTACTCGTAGTTCGAGTGAGGGTTTTCATCCCACGGACTTGCATGGCACAAATGGGCCAAATCTGACCATGGGTGCAAATCAGTCCCTCATTCGGGCGCACACTCAAGGAAGAATCTACTACTGCAAACCTACAAATTGCAAGAACGTCTTGGACAGACGGGCGACAAAACACTTGCAGTAGTAGTTCCAAGAGGCAGATCGTTTTTGATGCCAGATCCCAAGACGTACAAAACCAGGCAAACCAAGGTGTGTTGAAGGTTTTTGCAGAACAAATTTCGGAGTTTGAACATCATTCCCTCTTCCGCACTGATCTCCAATCTTACTGCTGGCTTGCCAGGGCAGCCAAACTCAGCTGGAGAAGAAACTTGACACTGTGGTGAAGGCACTGGCGGCATGAGCCGGAGTGCTTTGATCGTATTCCTCACCCAAGCTGCACCACCCATCATTGTGGGAATGCACCTAGTGAATCGTGCGATCGAAGGCAGAGGACCACCGTGGCCTTAAAAGATCGAAAAAATGGGTGACCGAAGTGACTTGTCGTCTAAGCACCCGGCTAATAGCGATGGCCTCCAACCTAATAGCAATGGCCTCCAACCTACTAGCGATGGCCTCCAGCCTACTAGCGATGGCCTCCAGCCTATATAATAGCGATGGCCTCCAACCTAATAGTGATGGCCTCCAACCTAATAGCCTTCATGTATCTTTATGATTGATAACTTCATCTGTGGTCTCGCTTCTACTATGTCGGTGTCAACCGGCAAACCCATCCCCACAGTCCACCTGCCTTTCCATGAAAGAGTATATTTGTCAGCTCTTATAAACATAAGTCATTCGTTTCAGTCCCTACGCATCAACCCCCTTCCCCACCTCGAGACTCTCGCCCTGCCTGTCTCCCTCGACCGCCTGTGGTTTCCCCATCCCAACACGTGTGTCGGTCGACCACCGCGAAGAACGTAGGGAATGAGGGATGACGGGCCTAGGGAATTGTCACCCTCATTCCTTTTGGATTCCTTTGGATCCAGTCCACCTGTGGAAAACACCCTATTCCCATTCCACAGCACAGTCATGTGCTGCACAGACAGTCAGTCGCTTCCGGACCGCTGCGTCGCCAGGAGAAGGCAGTGCAAGACCGTTTGATCAGGGAGACACAAGACGCGCTCCTGGACAAGGCTCCCATACCTCGCTTCGTGAACGTCTGGAAGTTGAAATGACGGGAAGGACATCCACTTTGAGACTAGTGATGCCTCCAAAGTAGTGATTAAACAAGCAAGCTATGGCAGTACGGCTTCTGGCCATGTCAATGGTGTGAATGATGTGATATTGAATATAAACAGATTCATATATACAATTATAGGTTCCAAGTGAGTGTTGATAGGTACGGAACCCCACGATGCTGCTCGAGCCCTTGCAACTGATCATTCCGGTTTCTTGAGATGTGCCACAGCTCTGGAGTCTGACTGTGGAGGTTGTCTTGGGGGGGGGTCCGCATTGCTGGGTTTGTCGACTGGGTGGGCCCGGCATCTGCCAGAACTTCCCACGTCAGCTGAGCTGAGCTGAGCTCCAGGTCTCTCTGGCTGAGCTGAACATGTTCGAGGCCGAGGGGAGCAGTTTGATGCACCGGTGCACCGCAAACGCGCCAATTCGCAGCGCTTTAAAGGTGGGGAGATGAATCATGCAATACGGATCACCAGGGAATACCAGAGACAGTACGTTGGTTTTTCTTATTATATAAACAACCTATACGAACCTATAGGCCTATAGGTTTGGTTGGTAAGCTTCCGAATCGACCACTGCAAGCTTCCCTGGATCTTCCCGTGGTGGCCCCCCAAAAAACAGATTGGAGCTCAGCGATATTGACGATCTCTACGGTGGAGGCCATTGCTCTTAGGTTGGAGGCCATCGCTATTATATAGGTTGGAGGCCTTTGCTCTTAGGTTGGAGCTCAATGATCTTAAAGGTCTCAATTGGATCTCAGAGCTCCAACACCACAATCGCCGATCGCCGTCGCTTGACTCCTGCGCCGCTGCTGTGTGTGCGAGTTCCGTACGTGTTTCAGGTCCATCGCCGTGAGCCGGTGAGCTGTTATCTTGTTTGAGATGAACAGGGATGGAAGACGATATGCCCTCATTTGCCGAAGCTGAAAGGGCTTAGTTTTCGTTCCTTGGTTCTTGATGCATCTCGCCATCCAGGTGAGAGTTTACTGGAGCAGTATCAGAATGTTGGCGTTGAAACGAAGTGAACAATGATTGTTGCGGGGCCTTCAGATTCGTTGCGAAAGAACGACAGGGTCGTTTAAAGATTGATGCTGATAGGATGGATGCTTGGGATTTGTCCGATTCCCACGGACAATGGGCTTACTGTAAATTCAAGTAGTCTAGTATGGACCATCTAAGCCCATTCTTCTGAAGTCAAAACTGAATGTCGAAGGAAAGAAAAGCGCTAGGCCCATGTGAAGAACCCATGTCCTGATGGTCCTCCAGTTCTGCTTCGGGTACGAGATCCTGGAGGTACTGTCATCTCTCACCTCACCTCACATATCTTCCATCGCTGAATGTCATTCGATCCGTTGCACCTCACCTCCAGGCCAAGTTCGCTGGGTACACCACGAAGTTGGAACATCAACAGATGCTCAACTCCCTGAGGCGACATCGTCTTCGGCGAATCGCTCGGCGAATCGCCGGTTTTCCGACGCACCGCACGACGTCCCGGCGGAAGCACCGGGACGTCCGCCACGGCTGAGACGAGCGGTGGAAGAGGTGGTGAGAGCCGTGGTGAGAGCCGCTGCCCCACTCACCGATGGTGACGTGGATGGCTGATGGCCCCGTGACATCGACCCAACACAGGTGGTGCCATCCATGTCGTGATGATCGAGTAGCCTCCAAAGACGTTCAAATCCTAAGAGATGCTTTACATTGTTCACATGCACTGTACATGGGCGCTTAGAAAGGTCGCGACCTTCAGATATCATTTAATAACCCCAAAAGACGATGGTAACCTCCTAATTGTGAGGCCTCCTCCCAACAAAATCCAAAGCCTTCAAACAATGCCCGCGAAGCTGTGTTTAGTTGCATGTCTTTATAGATGAATGCCTGGCAAAAGCTTTCTGGCGCTACTTGGACGACTGCTTCGTGTCAGTCTTTCCAGTCCCCTTCCGTCAGCTTCGTGTCTTCGTGTCGTTCAGAGTCCGGAAGTCCTAGAAGGTAACTGACATACAGTATATTAATATGAGGGATCCTGAGGGTGACCTGGGGTCAACATAGCTAATACTATACAGCATAATATATCATATAGCATCATGTGGCAATGTACAGTTTTGGGTTTAACTTTAGCCACACTTCTGAGTCTCGTCGTCGGAAGACTCCTCGGACCTGTCCTTTCGTTGACGGACCACATCGCCCCCAGTGACTACGCGACCATCGACCTGGCCGAGCGGATTGCGGAGAACATGAAGGCGAACCGTCGGTGTCGGTGGCTGTCGGTTTGGGTGGTGCTGGTGGAGATGTGGTTTTGGTTGGCTGTCGGGCAATTAACAACTTCATACAAGAGAAACTACACTTTGTTCTTGGTCTTGGAGGTGGGCCTAGGCTAAAAGATGGACAGACATCTATTCAATCCGCGCTGTAGTAGTAACAGTAGTAGTGTCGTTTACTTGTGGCGACCACAGGTGGATGTTTCATTGAATGTCATGCATCATGCATCCATTCCACACCGCCCGCCTCTCACCCCTCAGGTCACCTTTCGCCCCCCACCCCTCGGGCCCCTCAGCACCTGCCAGGTGCTATCGTGCCGCTTCGATGATTACACGCGGACGGCGAAGCTGGAGCAACAGCTGCAGGAGCGACGGCGCGACAGCACCGGGGTCCACGGTGCCGCCTTGGATTCGAAGCTGGAAGAGTTGACATGCCCTGCAGCTACCTGTGAAACAGGATGCAGGATGTACACTGAGCTTGGGAACCCTCCGATCTCCAGACTCTGGGGGGATTTCTGTTCAATTGTACTCAGTGCAATCTCAGAATTTCGCCCACTAGCCTCACACAATCAAGGTCGTTCCAGGCCGCCATCACGCGAGCCCAGAAAGCACGTCTCAACCGTGGCCATTTTGGGGTCTCAAACGTCCTGTGCTCCGCGGATGCCCGCAGGAAGTCAGGGATTGGGTCGAAGACGAGCTACAGTACTACGCCAAGGTCGCCAACACCAACGCGCAGGTGCACGGCTGGTTCGAGCGCAGCCGATGATGTCGTGCTGGCGAAGATCCCTTGGCGCGCATTTTCCGCCATGCTGGTCCGTTCAAAAGAGTTTCAGGGACGAAAAAGCTGTTCACCTTGGAGTTCACATGGCCACCTTTTTGGTTCACTTGGACTCCCGCCCTCCCCAAAAACCCACCCATACCGGTGTTTTCCACCGAAGTCGCTCCTCGGACGGCTTCAGTTTGAAGAGCTGGCGGTCAGCATCAAGGACCAATCGTTGCTGTCGGCCCGGCAAGTCCTTGAGGTCTGATGGACAGAAAGGTGAGTCCTGGCCAGTCCGGTCTGCTGGGCGGGAGTTTTGGGTTCGGGAGGAGGAAGGGAGGGCCATTTCTTTCTTTCAAGAATTCTTTGGATGGGTTTAAAAAAAGAACTCTATGATTCCTGGAGACCACACATTTGGTGTACAATTGGTGTTACGTGTTCCTTCCAAATCGTCGGTCCAGTGCACTTTCGGTGAAGCACGGGAGCGAACCCAAGCCGTTGGCCGCTGAGAGAATGCGCACAGATGTGGAATCCCTGGTAGATCAATTTTCGTTGAAAAGCAGGCTCTCTTCAGCAGCTGCCTTGACCTGGACCCCCTTTGGATTCATTTGGCACCCTTTCTTTTATATGTGTTAGGTCAGTCACATTGCGTGGTCGTCCAAAGCAGGGTCATATGCTTTCGTATATATATTCATATATATATATATATACAGACATGGTTGCATCCACGCATCACCTGTCATTTCCTTTTCATTTGCCAGCTTCGAAAGCGCCTACGCCGCCACCAACGATCAGCTGAGAGGCGAGGCGCCCGAGTGTCTCCGGCCGTTTCGTGACTCGCCGTTCGAGCACAGAGACGGTGAACGGTTGAACGGACTGCGAACCGTCGGCAGCACTGTATGTTACGAAGCACAGCCAGATTGGACCACATCCGGATCCCAAGAACATCCTCAGTACGGGAAAGTGGAGAACATCCTTCTGGTTCCCACCCGCGGCTCAAGACTTTGGACTATGGGCTACGTCATGGAGAACCCTCCCCAAAATGGCCGCCCACAACCCCAACGACCGCGGGAACGAAGTGCAACTCGGAATGCGGCTGTATCATTCGCTCCTTAAAAGGCTTGCAATGTCCAACCAAAAGCCGGATTCGAGAGATTGAAGTACGTAGATGTACGTAGTAACGTAAAACCGTTTATCTATGCGTGAACTGTTGATGTACTGTGGGTGACACATGGTGACACCATACAGACACGTGGGATGTCCCATGCCTTTTTGTTCGTTTTGCCTGGCGAAGTTTTCTTGCTTCCCTTCTCCCACGTGATTTCGACCCCCCTCTCAGAGATTCGACATCCACAGACCACCCAAACATCGCCTGGTCTTCTTCGTCCGGCCGAGATCGGCTGAACGTCGCACCGTACGGCTGAAACGGTCGCGTCGCGTCACCCGCTTGGAACGGGCTCCACGGCGAGGTCTCTCGGACCGCTTGACGGCGATGTACTCGGAGCTGGTCAACGATCTCCAGCAGCGCGTCCGGGGGGCCTAAGCACGGATGGAGAGGTTCCTTCGATCGGATGGAAGTCAATGGGTGGTCAATGAGTTCCAACCTAAGAGCGATGGTCTCCAACCTACTAGTGATGGCATCGAACCTACTGGAGTTCCATCGTTCCAGCCTTTGATATCCAAAGGTCTACGGAGCGATGGGTTGGTGTTCCGCTGCGATGGCCTCGGGTGGACGGACATCCGTCCCTTTTGGAGCTTTCACTTCTGCACGCCCGGTGGGTGTGGATGAAGATGTGGTCGGGTCCTTTCCGGATGCGACACGATGACGTAAACTGGAAGTACCAAGATCAACTCTTGGGCACAAAAAATCAGGTAAATATAAGGGGCCAAAGGTTTCTCGATCCACCAGGGGGGCCAAGTATGACCTCAAGGTTTCCTGGGTATTTGTTCCAACATGGGGCACCTTCTGAAGGAGCTGCTCCTTCAGAGGCACCCAAGATGTGAAGATCATTGAAGATCCTTCGTGGCAGAAGATTCGGAGATGCCCCTGATCGGGTCTTCCCTTCGTTTGGAGACAAAGTCTTTAGGGACGTGTCCTTCTTGATTCGGCATTCCTGCAGGAGCCCTGAACTGCAGGAGCCCTTGATGGAACCTGAGTGACCTCTGTTGTGGACCACCAACCACCCAACATATATCAACATTTCCTATCAACACAGGGGTCCAACGGGTTGTAGGTTGCAATTGGTTTCTGAATCTTTCTGACACATCCCTTGAAGTGTGACTCTATGTGATTCAAAAAGACCTCCATTCGCACCAGCCATTTTCCGGTCGGTCTTGGACGGACTCTCATTGAACCTGTAAACAGCTGTCCATTGTTGTGACGACACCGCCATCATGGCTTTCGTTCCCAGGCCATGTATGACGACCTGCAAGAGACGAAGAACAGCCTCAAGACCGTTTCGCCGCGTTATCGCCGTGACCGGGGTCGAATAAGCGACGCAGTATAGGAACGAACTCATGAACACACCCCCACTGGCCGGAGAATTGTGCGTTGACTGTGACTGTGGTGTGTCCTATTGCACGTATTTTTCTCTACAAGTTGGGTGCTTTGGATGAAGGGCATGCCCGTGTGTTATACGTGCCCCCGGGAACCTTTCGGGCCTAAGATGGTCTAAGTCGAATCGTGAACCCTCTCATTGTTTATCGGTGGTCACCCACCCACACGCCTACCGGGCAAGTCACTTCTAAGAGCTCTGCACTTGGCTCTTGATCTCGTTTTTTGTTTTGCCTTTTCTGTACAAACAACCAGACTATCCAGATTCTTCGGGGGATGCTGCGCGACGTGCGCGGCGTGCGCGACGTGCCATCATGGCTGGTTGCCCCCGGTTGCGTGCCGGACTCAACCACCGATGTGCGGCCAGCTGTCCGGTCATCCATGCGCCGCTGCTGGGTCTGGGTAGGTTGAGAATAGAACATCAGTCGAGGTTCCCTTTAAGACATAGAATGGGGAGTGACCATCGATTCCAAAGCGAGATCGTGGAGCCCCCCTTTTTACCGATCCCGGTCCACTTCCAATGTGTGGCAGCCTTATGCCCAAGCTTTCGCGCGCATAGAAAATGACAGTAAGGGTGCCATTATATGCCCAATGGATTCATCCAAACACGCGCCAACTACTGATACTACTGCATGATTGGCCAATGCATGTGAATGGTACCAGGACCTTCAAAGTGACCTTTTGAGATCCAAGGATGAGGTCACTTAGGCCTGTTAAAGGTCACCTAGAGACTCCAAAGAAGTCACTTTGGGGGTCTTGGTACATGATTGAAGTTGCCGAGAGCGTCCCGTGTCGTCCCACGCTCACTCCCCCCTCGGAGACGTCTGGGGAAACCATCGCAGGAAGTACGCGCTACGCGCCGAAACGGACGCCTTTCAACAGGTGCAGTCAGCCGGTGTGGGGGTGCAGTCAGCCGTTGGATGAAAGTGGAAAAAGGGCAGAACAAACAGACCAAAGCGATTGGATGGTTCTTCTCTTGGGTGAGTGATCTTTGTTTGGTGAGTGAATCGATCAAACCACGTTAAGCCTACATTGGTGACCTACACCCAGTTCAACACAGAGGAACTGCTTGAAAAACGGTTCACTTTGTGCAGGCATCCGTGTTACTGTGTTTGGACGGAGGTCATCTGAAAATTGTACATCGCCCCTCTCCTACCTCCAAAGATCTCCAAAGACTCAGCTCTTTGAGGTTCAAACGCGCGATGCACATGGATCGAACTTCTGGCACCAACAAACACCAAAAGTGGCCCTCGATGAGTCCCCATGCGGCGCCACCTGAGTCCCCCTCGTGTTGAAAGGGCTCCACACTCGTGGCTCCACGCTGCTGCTCCTCGGTGGTCCGACTCGGCGACGCCCAAACCGCGGTGGTCCCACTCAGATCCGGAGGTCGTTGGCCCGAGGGTGGTGGCGCAAAAGGATGAAAAACGAGGAAGAAGAACTAGGTACCCCTTTTCCCACAGCTCAAAGAGATCCCACCAATTTCACCCACCCGACCCATTTTCATTTCTACTCCACCTCTTTTTTCACCCACAAGATCCCCCTTCCTTCGAGTCCCAAAAACCAGGGCGTGCGCCGCGTGCGCGCCGGAATCCGACGCCAGGATTGCGTGCCGAAGCTGCGCTTCTGCGTGGATTCCATCCGAGCCTTCGATGAGCGGCTCCGGGCGCAGGACCCGTCAGACCGGACGCGGAAAGGATGTGCGCTCGGAGGCGGTGTGTGCGGCTCCGGGTGCAGGAAGGCGCAGGAATCATGAAGAAAACCATGGAAAAGCTGAATCTGGTGGTTTCAGAATATGTTTATGTTCAACCTCTACTTGGGATGATTCAACCACATTAAACCCACTGACTCATAGTTTTTGTTCGTTTTTCAACCACCCACCAGATCATGACTTCGGTTCGCTGAGCTACCGACCTCATGCGGCCGGAGGAGTCGCCCACACGGCTCACACGTAGACTGCGGGACGGAGCGACGACGGAGGCAAAAACAGTGGACCCACCCACCCACTTACCCACCCACCCAACTGCAAAGGAAGGGCATCGCTACTAGGAGCAATCACGCTACTAGGGGCTCCTGGCCTTACTACTTGGAGCAAAGGACGCCACTGAAGTGTTTTCTTCCCTATCCAGGATCAATTGCACACCTGCCCCAAGCATGAGCTGCCACTTGTTTGGCATAGTTGTTGTCATCCATTGTAGAACCTATATATGTCCCGTTGCTGGCAGGACGGTATAGTTTGTAGATGGACATTCATTCCCCCCAACGACGTTATGTAAACACTGCATTGATCCGTACACAGTTTTCTTTCTAATTGATTATATATATTATATATGTGCACTACGTGTGCGTGCATGTTCATTTTCAAGCCACCTTGCTTCGGTCAACACACCGCTGACCTTGTAGGATGATGCCATCCAACGCGTGGATGAGGTTCTTCTGGACAAGGCGTGGGCAGCTTTTCGACCAGACGGAAGCCTTTGCTGGAAACAGGTCCCAAAAGACCAATGCCGAGACTTGAACACCAAAAGCCCATGCTTTCAAGTGTGGGGTGGTGAGTAGAGACTCTTGATTGGTGTTGCGGGATGACACATGTAAGTCATTTTCTTGAAGGGTCCCGTGGTCTTCTAGCTTTTTATGAGTCGCTGTTCCATCGCAGGCAGGGAAGTATGACATCGTGATCATCAACTCGCGGGTGGAGCAGTGTCTTCAGAAGGAGTGGGTGTCCCGTGGCACGTGGCAGGTAGCAGGTGGTGTGTGTGTCCAATTGAGTTGTTGGAGGCTTTCTTTGAAGGCAGACATCGACTTTCGCTCCAAAAGTGAGAGCCACCGGGTTGGGGTCGTGGCTGTTGTTGTAAACCCTTGGGTGAGTTTCGTGCATGGCCTCCTGGAAATAGGGAGATCTTTCTCTCAACAGTTGAATAAATTCGACCTGGGAGAACCAACGCACTGCAAATAGCTGAAATAGATTGAAATAGCTATTCTTTCAGGTGGTGACTTCCTTCAACCCTTCAATAGAGTATCCAATTTATATAAAGTCTCCAAATTTCCCTTCCTTCCTGCCACATTTGGGTACTCCTTGCTTCTGGCGATTCTTGCCACCCTCAGTTTTCTTTCAGGTCTGACTCGCTCAGACTGGCCAGTCCGCAAGCGTATAGGAGTCGCTAGGAGTCTCATTGGAGTCTAGCATGTGTCCTGATTTGCACTGCAAAAAATAACAGGATGTTCCTCTTGCGCTTTGTCTCGGATTTCTCCTGACCATCGTTCCTGTGCTCAGAAAAAAGACTCCTCTTGAGGAAAACCTGCACCACCCAACGACTCCCAGCGCCCGAAGTCACTGGTGCCGCGGCCGTGGAGGAAGCGGCCATGAAAGAGTTCCACTCCATCTATGACAAGCAGGATCGCTTCAATGCAAGGCCCCCTTGGTTTCGGGTCATGCAGTCCCCAAAGAGTAAATGCTTCAACATACACTCAAACCGAAAGCATGCAGGCATTTGGTAGAATTCCTTCCGACGTCGTTTTTATCCACCTATATCCACCTATATTATGATATATGATGTATTTATAGTCCGACGCTGCAGCCTAATGAGCCATGGCGGGCCGGATGCAACAATGGAACACCCCTTTTCGCCATGAAACGCATTCGGGTCGCCACCTTATACGTGGCGGGTTCTTACCTTTCGGATCAGGAGTTCATTCCGTTCCCCCACACCAGTTCCACCAGGTCACCAGACCTCACTGCCACGGTGTTTTTCGTTTAAACCGCAGAGCTTCAGAGACCGAAGGGTGACGAGTCGTCACCGTTTGTGGTGGCGCGTGAAGCAAGCTGGTCGCCGGTGGTTCGCTCGGGCACGTGAGATGGCGCGAGCACCAGCGCCAGGTTCGAGGAGTACGTGGAGCAAGAGAGCAAACACCTTGACAAGTTCCGGCCTCCGGACTATGGGCCCTACTTCGAGGACACAACCGTGTGGGCTGGGAAAAGGGAGGTCTGACCGGGAAAGAGTGGGAAACAGCACTGGAGGGTGATGGATGGTGATGGGTTTTGCTTTAGTGATTTGTTGGATTGATGAATTACTCAATATACTATCATCATTCATCATCTATGTATTACTAAGTCCTTGCTCTTTGAGCCTCCAAGCAAGGGAATACCACTCCGCTTTGTGCCTGCGAGTTTTAACATTGTATTTTCATGTTCCACAAAGAAGTCCCAGTGGATGATTCCTTGATCCTTCTTTGAAGCTGAAGCTGAACTCTTTAAAGTTTTGTGAGATCTTTTTTGTGTCTTTACGCTGCACTCACAGGATCCATGCTTCCAAAACTGAAAGAATGTGTGAAATCTCAGATTCCAAAACTCTTTTCAGAAAGGAGCTCAATCAGAAGGTTGCCCTGAAGGCAGACAAGGTGCGTGTCGTGGGTGGGCCGTTTTCCTTTTTTGAATGCGAGTGGTGACAGTAGTGTCCGAAAGACCTTTGAAGGGGGCAAGTCCATCAACTGACTCCACCACCACAGGCCACCGACAGGTGGACTGGGGTTCAGGTAAAGTAAAACCCATCACAGCTGGACGGAGTCATGTCCTGATTCATGTTAGTTCTGTCAAGTTAGTCATGTCCTGTGAAGTTCGTTCTGTCGTGTTTCGCCATGTTTCGGGCCCGTCCTGTTTCGTCCCCTAACTGGATTCAGCGGATGCCTTCAGTTTCGCGAGAGAGAGAGAGAGAGAGCTAGCCGCTAGCGAGGCCGCTCTAGCTGTCCAGGGCCCCGCCTTGGTGATTCCATTATCCTCAATCTGTATGGCAGAGGTTCAACAAGGTCACTGTGGCGACTGTGGCGTTAGCCACCATGGGGGTTTTGAGGTTTGGTGTGGAAGTGGGTTGGTAGCGAAACCACACGTTTAGAGCGTTTTTTGCAAGGAGCCATTGAAGCTGGAAACGCTATGAGGTTTTGTTGTTATTTTCCCCAGGGGCCCCGTTCAACATACGATTCTGCGTGTACACATGCCTTTACGGACCAATCGTTGCGTTGACTTGTCAATCATCAATGATACTTTGGAGAATGACGAGTGAATTTTGATGCACACCAAATGTCACCACTTGGCCCCCCACACACCACCTCGCAACGAACAGCAGCACTGGGCATGATGCGGCGGCATGTATCGGATGGACACCGTGCTGAAAGCCCACGGCCCACGGTCACAAACGCCGCGATGAGCTTAAACAACAGACCAAAGCAAACCTAGTTTACTGTCAGAGTCAAAGTGGCACACTTATGTCATACTCATGAGACATCATGAGATCAATGCATAATCTGTTGAACATGAACAACACCTGAAGTTCTGAAGCAACCTCACGCTTAGCCTCAAAACACCAAACTTAGATTTATATTATTCACGTAACTGCTGTTGGGTTTATAACATGTTCTATGTTCTAGTATCAACATGTTCATTTTTTGGTGCTGAGCATTCCTATTACTGTGCATCATTGCTCCCAGCAGTATGCAAGACGGTTAAAGACTATGGAGAGCCAACTTCACAAACTTGGGTCAACTTTTATAGAAAGCTCCGCTAAATGAAACAACTCTGCTACTTTCCCAGAACGCAGGAGACTACAGACTACAGGATTCCGCTGCTCTCGGTGAGTTTTTCTTTCTTTTTATTTTTTCAGTATTGAATATTTGGTCGGATTGTGGGGTTGTGCCCTTCATGTGTTGAGAGAAAGTAGCACCCCTATCCCCCTATCCGTACGGTACCTCCCTCACCGTTCTGATGGATGCCACACCGGATCGAGGTTTCCAGGATCGATGTCATGGACATGCAAAGACATTGACTTTGCTCCTTACATTGGTCCACAGCCCACAACACAAGTAGCATCACTCTGTAGAGCAGAATTTTGCAAGCACTGCCCTCTGTAGAGCACTGAACAGCTATGGAACAACATCTGAAGAAATGCAGTATGTTTGCTGAGTGTTGCGATTGTTGGTTCTACATTCTTTTCTTTTGCCCTGGCGCTCTTTTTCCGACCCGCGGGCGTCGCAAGAAGCACACCGGTAAAATTGGGACACGTTGGTGGACACAACACGTCGCAAGAACCACACGGCAAATCGGCCCGGACTTTTTGAGAGGCCGATTTGGTGGAGATGTATCAGCTCAAGGCCAGTCACGGTCGAGCGGGGGGAAATGGAATCGGTTTCTGAAGGGGGGATAATGGATTCGCACAGAGTTCGTTCATTCACCAGTCTCAGGGTCGATGGTTTCATGGCATCGTGTCAAGTTTGCTATGGAGTTCGGATAGCTTTTTGCTGATGTTTTAACATGTCTATATAAATGTTTCAAGTTCACACTCTAGCTCGTTTGAGGATGTGTATCTGGTTTCATGTGTTTAATGCCGCTTTTACTAGTTCCCCGGCAGCCGTTAATGCTTGCGAGTGCACAGCATTCAGCTTTGCTATGGACAGCACCAGGCGAGGGGTCACTCGGTCCAGAAGTCCCAGAGACACAGTCAGTGCAGGGAGGCATCAGAGCCATGAGCAGTCTGACAGTCCTGTGAAGATCAACATTGGCGGGGAGAAGCTGATCGAAGTCTATCCTGATTTGTTTGCCGTGCGTGGAGAGAACAAACTCACGAGCATCATGGCGGGCCGGTGGCGCCAGCCAAGGGATGCACAAGGGAATATTTTCGTGGACTACTCACCGGAAGTCTTCATGCCACTCGTGGAATGGCTCAGGGAATGCCGTGATGCTGACCCTCAAAATGAGCTGGTCCCGGTGCGCATTGATCAGGAGCAACATGGTAGGAGAATGGCATGGGTCCGAATGATGAGAGCCTTGTCCTTCGCTTGGGAGGATTTGGTTTTTGCCGCGGTGACCGCCCAAGAGTTCATTGAGGCAAAGTTTCCTGCACGTGTTTGCTTGCAGGCTCGCGCCGGTTCCTTGCCATTGGCCGAAGCCCTATTTTTGGACGGGGTCAGGCAACAGGACTTCGCTGACGTGGGCATTCAATTTTATAAGGAGGACTTTAACTTGGTCCAAGAATTTCAAGACTACTATGAGACGGGAGACCATCAGCCACGTGCGCCTGTGGATGTCGAGGTTGCCTTCCAATACATTTGCGCTGCAGTCGAGGATTTTCGTGAGAGTTCCTCCGGATGGCTAACAAACTTTTTTGCTGCAATCCGCTCAAGCCTCACCCTTCAAGCTATTGGTTTGTCCTGCTTTGATTCATATTATATAGTCGAAAAAACTTGATTTTATTAGGGAGCGGCCACACGATCGTAATATATACATATACACATATATATATATATTGATTTATATATATATATATATATTTGTTTCTTGGACATGTGACCATGCTCCTTTGCAGAGGATCTTGATGCAAATCTAAGGGCATCAAGGAGTGCCTTTGGCCTTGATCCCTTCAGCTCCTCCCTGGAAGTGAGGGGTCCTGATGTGTCAGCCCTTGCTGGTTGACAGCAAACCAGACCAGCTGTACAACGAACGTGCTGGTCCAGTTTGGTCACACAAATCACACTCAAAGAAAGTGCTGTTTTTGGTGAACTCGGAACCCCTCGACCCGAAGTGAGTTTCCCCATGTGCCGAGCTGGGATGTGGAGTCCGAACATCTTTGGAACGACCTAGTTAGCCTAGGGCCTTGTTTGTCATACTGATCAGGAAGAAGACAGAAGACAGAGGAAGCTTACTTGGGCCAAAGAGCCATGGAGAGCCCGGAGGGACGAGGTGTTCTGGTCAAGCCACCAACACATACGCTGGGACCAACGCAGGCTGCGCAGACCGCGTTGTAAAAGAGAGCCGGATTTTCCTCCGAGATGAGCGGTTGAGTGGAGCTGGACTTGGAAAGTCTGCGTCAATGTTGGTTCTTCTGGATGATCCATTTCAATCACGAGAGATCCTTCTGAACAGGACGGACTGTGCAACTGGACCCAGTCTTTTTGGAGGGACAGACCGTGCGAGAGATGGACCCTTGAGAGATGCTCTCAACATTTCTCAGCTCTAGTCGAGATGAAGACATGGGTGTGTATTTCAAGCTCTAGGGAAGTCTTCCTTCTTTGGGACCGTCTCCCGAGTTGAATGCACACCCCACACTGGCCCATTGGCCCACCCAGTGTTTCACCATTGACCCATACTGAAACCGAGTGACGGGCTGTCACTGCACTCCTCTCCTTTTGGGTGTGGAACGTGTTCATGTGCATGTGACCCCATGAACACCACTGTTCAGCCCCAAAGACCTGAGAAACCAGGACAGAATGGAGATATAGAGATACCTTATCATGTCGTTTCCACTGTTGCACACCACTATTGTTTAAACCTATTACACTGCACCTGAACATCAAGTACACCAGGTGTCCATGGGTTGGCAGTTGCAAAAAGATGCAAAAAGGTCTCTCCAAACTGCATGTTTCATGCGTTTAGTATCGTTTGGTTTGCTTCCAATCTACGGTTCTGAAGAGTTGTTCCCTGAAATTCCATAAGTCTACTGTAGATAGCCAGTTGCAGACAGGGTTTTCATCACGTTTTGTGTGATTGGCTCTGCTCCCGCTCGATCCACCAGGCCAACCGCATCGATGCAGATGAGCTCGCCAAGCTCCAGGCGGACCATCCGCATCGAGCGCCGGGGAGCTGGGAGGATGAAGACAGGACACCCATGGTGACCATACCAAAACGATGGGTTTCCTGGAAGGCAAACCAATGGCCTGCAATCCTATTAGGTTGGAGGCCATTGGTTTCCTGTAGATTTTCCCGAAAGAAAAGCAATGCTGCAAAGGCTTTTCACCCACCAGTGCATTTTCCAACAAACATGGAAGTGAGAATGGGCTTAATTGCTTGTTGTTTGTTGTGGTTCAGAGAGCTAGTCTTGTGGACTCCAAGGAGCTGTAGGAGCGTGGGGTTTAGATGGACATTGGGCAAAGTTGCACCGGAGATGACTTGATACGTACGGCTCTGAGGAACCTGGATCAAACGGCTCTGAGGTTTGGAATAGTGATCACGATTCCGAGTGAGAAGCACGTGCCAATGTTGCAATAGAAGCAGGAAGTCCCTAATTTGCCAATAATTTGGTCAGTTTGTGTGCTCAGAAACACCAAGACACTTGATCCTTACCAACTCCATCCATGCAAAGGGTTCAGTTTATAAGGCTCTACACGAAGCGAGCACGAAACTTGCAAATACAATAATATCTCTTGAGTCACAATCCACAGCTGCAAGATATGTTGATTGCATAGTTTCCTAGGCTCTTCAGTGGAACTGCTGTTTCCATCCGATCCGAGACATCGTTCGCGACGAGCGTCGCGCATCGCATCGCTTCCGATTTCTCCGTGGGTCGTGAGAAAAGCCGGCGACAGACATGAGTCGACATGCTGCCCGCGGGCTTTGGTGTGCCCTTAGTAGCTTCGAGCTACTAGTAGGACTGCCCTTGTTGCTAGTAGCGATGCCCTTGTTACATCTTGTTACTAGTGGGGCTGGATTTTCGATTTCAGCGATCCGGATTTCGATTTCGGATCAGGACACAATCCATCGGCAGTTGGAGTACTTGGCGGTGACGACCTTTGGTCTCTCGAAGCTTTGCCTCGCCGAGGCCGAGGGCACCGGAGCCACGAGTGATGAAATGGTGGGAGCCACGAGTAGTCTCGGTGGTCTTTCTCTGGACTCTTGCAGGGGTGTTCAACTGTTTATTCTGCTTGGATATTTGTGGATTCTGAGGTATTGTCCATGTTAAAGAGAGCAAACATGGGTCCGGCGGTCTAGGTGATGGTGAAGCGCTCGATCTGCGGCACTCAAAGGTCTAAGATTTTGTCCGGGCACTCCAAGGTCTTTCACGTGCCAAAACCTGACCTATCAACCCAACTGGCACAACTGGTGGCTTCTTGGAACCCTCAGATTCGCTTCTTGGAGCCGTTCCACCCACCCAGGTGAAGCAGGGCGAATCGAAGACCCTGCGGATGCAGCAGCGGACGCAGGCGAGCCCCAGCTGCGGCGGTCGCACCCGCGCACTTGGCGTTTTGCGGATGGCTGCGAGCCCAGAGGAGGAAACCCTTTGGAGAGGAAAGGACCTGAAGGATTTGGGGTGGTGGGGGGTCCTAGGTCACTCGGGTTCTAGGTTATTGGATGTTATTTGGATCGAATCCTCTCAATTCGATGAGTCCCCGAAATCACACTGCAGTCGAGAGGGACTTAGTGATTTGCAGTGGACTGGTGGGATTTGTTGCGCCCTTTGTCAGCTCCTTGCTGATAGACAAGCATGGTTGACATCCTGCCCCCCAATCTTTTTGGTGCTTATGGTAAGAACCCCATTTGGATTTGGATGGTGGCAATCCCATAACAAGAAGCAGATTGTAGGTCAAATTAAAAACCATCCAAAGCCCCAACCACCTTTGTGAACCGCAGCTTTTGACCGATCCCTACGCTCATTTCTCTCTCATTCTCAGCATCGACTGAACCCACAGACGTCCGATTCCCTCGTGCGGGCCCCCCACGTTTTGACCTGCACGCCGTGCAGGTTCTCATGCAAAGCGAGGCGCGTGCGACGTCGTCGACGTTGGCACAGCCCTCTTTTTCACCCGGAAACGCCAGCCTTTCGCCGGCGGTTCCCGCGAACGTTGCAGCCGTGGCCGAGCTGAAGTGGCCGAACGAGGGTGAAGAGGTCTTGGGGGCACGGTGCCCTCTTTGCAGCAATATGGCAGTGGACAGTATAGTCTTGCTTTTGACCCTGCCATCCACTTTGTGATTCGCTGACGTGGACAGGTCCGCTGATCCAGAAAAGCATGATGAAAAGCACGAAGCGACTGGAAGGGTTTCAGTGGCCCCCATGAATCGCGGGTGTCTTTGGTATAGCGGGTGTCGACCCCCCGAAGCAATGGGGTAGACTGGTCTGACCTTCCCGTCCTTCAGGGAGATCTTTCAGAAGGTTTTCCATGGTTTTCCCGGATTTTAATTCCACGGAGCCAAGAGTTGGAAGGGATGAGTTCTGACTGCTTGGAAGGGATGACATTTTGAGAGTGGACTGTCCCGGTTCTTCCGACCACGGTCCAGCAGCCATTCGGAAGATGTGACGGCTGGACAGTCTTCGGACATTTCTCATCATTGCTTTGCACATTTCTAGCACATCAGATTGCTCATTTTCCAAATCTGATTGCTCATTGTCCGAAGATTGTCTGCACGTGCCAATCATTGCTCCAACAGATTTCTAGCACATCTTCCAACAGATTTCGAGCGGACTGACCCTCCGCACAGGCATTTTTCATTCTTCCCGTTCGACTGTCCATCGGTCGATGAAACCGTGTCGATGAACACCGTCCGGGCAGAGTCCGCCTGCCGGCAGGCGCTGTGGCATTGGATCCTCCACAATGAGCCTCCACCGAACCTGGATACTTTGAGACCGCCACCGAAGAAGGCAATTTTGGAAAGCAAGAAAACGTTGGAAGCTGCTGACTCTAATGTGTGGGAGTGACTCGAGCAAGTGAGATCGAAAGGTACGGTTTCAGGTGAAGTTGAAATTGCAGCACGCTACAACGGCTACAACTACGGACAATCTGCAGAGCTTTGCAGCCTCTGAGTTGAACAGGATTGATATATTTTCTTCAGCATAGAGATCCCAGGAGGCCCCCCTCCCCTGATTTTGCTGGGACGGTGTCAGCTAGTTGCTCACAAGTCCAGAACGCTGCGCGTTTCGATACGTTCAGCATTAATTCAGCATGGATCGACCTTCACAGTCTTCTATCCTTCAAAACCCAACTCCACAACAACCCAAACGCCTCACTCAAAAACGCCTGCTGTGCTTCAGGGTGCTGCTGAGGGCAACAACACAGATCCCGAGAAGGCTGAGATCATTGACAAGCAGAAACGGACCATGGATGACCACAAGAGGCGCGGGCGTTCGCTTCCCCCGATGCCGCCCGTTCGCCTTTACCGGGACCGGGAAAACGAGGTCCGCAGGTTCGGAGTGTTCGGCAGCGTTAGATGTTCTGTTCACGAGGCTTTGTTCATCCCAGGGTCCCATGATTGAAGTCTACGTACTATATACTACTTACTTTCATCTACTTTAATACTTACATCCACCGCAAACTCTGGCCCCTGGTTTGTAGACATTGCGCCTTCTTTTGGGAGCTCGCCACACACAGTGAGCACCGACGATGGAGCCTGCTGGAGCAAGCATTCAAGAAACACTTGGCATCCACAGATCTTGGAGTCCTCAACACCAGACCCATTGAAACACTGGGTCTGATGTTGGACCGAATCCAACTCCTGATTTGTTCAGTCTATTGTTTGTTTTTGAACAGGCAGCCTCAACTGCCGCGCGGTTCCGCCAGGAATCAGCTGGAGCGGAAGCTGGGCATGACCGCCTGACGGAGCAAAGTCTCAGCGGCACGGTCAGCGAATGGTGTGACACCCCGGCACACCGTGATTCTTGTTTTGGAGAGCCGGGCATCACCGGTCACCTAGCCGTCTTTGCAATGGCTTCCCGGCACAGAAAGTTGGGTGACGTCCCAAGCTTCGGGGTGTGACGTCACCGACGTTGCGGGAGAGTCAGCCTTCATCTTCTCTTGGCGCATTCACGCCCTGACGGACCCGTCCACCGTCCCATCCCTTCAGTCTCTTCGCTCCGAGTCTGACTCCGTCCGTTTCACCACGGAAAGACTCCGCGTTTGTGGCGTCCTGAGGTGCAAGACGCACCTGGGAAGTATGGTTGTGGGTTGCAAGATCAATACGCTTGGTGAACAACCAGTTCGGTCAAGTGTTAAAGGGAGCCAGAAATACCCACTGTTCCCAAGGCAGAGGAGATCTATAGGTAGTAGAGTTGAGCAAGTAGATGGCTGGCATATGATGCCTTAAATATACCTGTATTGGACCTGGACAAGCGTCCCAATTTTCGGTAAAAAGGTTCAACGTCCATGGTCTCATTTGCAGCCGGGAGAATAGGGCTTGATGATGGCTTGATGATTGTCAACATCCGCTCATGATAGACGTTTGCCAACCTCACCAATATTTGATCACCACATGGTTTTCGCCCATCGCCATAATCCTGAATGGGCATTGCGGACTGCGAGGTGTTTCTGTCGGCAGAAAAACAATTGAGCTACGGAAACGATGCGCCAATGATTTCATTCTGATTTGGTGTTGCAGGAAAACGGACTCGTACTCTGGTCCACATTCATATTTGGATAGAGTCATTTATTCAGGCTGTTGTTATTCTTGTTGTTGTTGTTGTTGCCCTTGACCCTTGTTTAGTAGGCGTGAACATGCTGAACTTGCTTGCTGCTTTGGTTGAAAGCACCAGGCCAGAGGTCTTTGGGACCCTTTTATTGAAGGTCTCCCACGCTTTTAGCCACTGGCAAGGTCTTTAATGGAGTTCTTGGCAAGTTCTTGGTTGTCAAAACCGGTGAATGGTTAGACATTGCCTGGCATGTCCCTGGCAAGATGTTCACAAGGCGATCTCATCCCTACCCAGCTTCTTTTTGGCTGAAGATGGTAGAGAAACAACAGCTGCATGCAGACAAATGCAACTCAAAAGGAGCTCAACGCACAGAGTCTATATCGGCTAACAAAAGCCACATGCGACGCCGGTAGTTGAAGGATGTGCATTCCACTGGACACGGAGGGTGAAGCTTGCAGGTCCAAGGCTAGGACTTGGACTTCGCATCATGATCTTTTGGGGCTACAAACCAATTCCCCTTCCAACCATTTACAGCACCTCAGACATTTCTCCCCCCACAGGTTCAACAAGAAAAAGAGGCTCCAATTGGCCACCCCCCATGAGCACTGCCTACTATGGCCGAGTTGTACCCCTGGCGCTGAGACGCTTTGTCCGGATCTCCGGCCAAGCTTCTGGCTCGCTTCACGTCTCGCGCGTGTCACACATCTTGTGTCTCTCACCGTAGGTGAGTAGACCGGTGGCCTAAAGGAGAACAGGTCAACTCTGGTGGTCGTTTAGGCCCAATTTTCAACCATCTTCATTGGGACACCTGTCACTAACCCTCCCAGTCACTAAAATATGTGTACGATTTGGCACCCGAACTTGGGGCCGTGCCATCCACCATGAAATCAGGGAGGTGTAAAAAAAATACATCAGCTCAACTCTCCAGGGACTCCGGACACCGGAGAAGCAATCGAGGTGAAACTGCCGTGCCGGCGTCATAGCCCCACCGGGCGTGCGGTGGGAGTTCCTTGGTGGCTACCAGCGGGGTGCTGGTCATTGATTTTTTTGGGTTCGGACAATGGATTGGCTCATGGATGGATCGGTGAAACATTTAGTACCAAAGAAGGCCCTTAACAATGACAGCCTCCAATTTGAATTATTTTGACATTGCGACGTTTTGGGGCTTGAGGCCCATGCTAAACATACAGGCCCATTTCATCCCATTTCTATCAGATATGGGCTTTACATGTCAGTGCATTTGTTTGTACTCACTTTGGCTATACTTATGCCTTGCAAGGGGCTTGCATCTTACTCCCATGTAATAGATACAGTGTGAGAAGAAATAGGGCCAGGGAAAGCCCCCCTGCACTTGGGTTCGAATTTGTTGTTTGTCCTTCTTGCCAGTATTGATATAAGAGATTTCATGTTAAAAATGCTAATTAATTAAGACAACATGAGTTATGACCTTCGGCGGTCTTGCCAAGTGAAACGAGGCTTCCAACACCCATGCTTGTCCCCTGTTTCCCTGTTTGCGGAGGCCATATGTTTGTGCCGAAGTCTGCGGACAGTGTCTACCCGTACCCGACTCGACCAGTGTCCTCTGGTGGCTTTTAAGAAGTGGGTGGCCCTCAGAGGCTTCGGCCCATCCTGGATCCCTTCGGCACCCCATCAGGTGACCTCAACCCCATCAGGTGCTCATTTGTTGGTGGCTCGGAAATCAACATGCACATGGGGTGAGGAATCCCAATCTATCATCTAATGTCTTACAGGTTGAAACCACCCACCAACCTCTCAGATTAAAATAAATTAGATTATCATCTTCCGTCGAAACCACGGGCACAAAAGGGTTTGGTGCTGAGGATCTGATGCTTCCCGATGGCCTCCCCACAGGCCAAGCCGCACAGGGGGACCTGAGCGTGAATTGAGATCATTGAGGTCAAGTTAAGGAGTTTCTTGTGAGGATAACCAGTCAATGGCAGGAGGTGCCCTATGATATGCCATCCAGTTGTGATCCCCTATAGCTCTTTGTTTCTCGAATTTTCCGGGTGACTTGGAAGACGAGCGACGCACGGGTTGCGGGCGCACCGGGGATGACGGCAGTTGTTCCCCTGGCAGAAGCAATCTTTCTGTAGAGGCTGAAAACACAGGTCGTAGCGGATGAGCTGTTGAATTGATGTGAACCACATGAAAACACGTGAAAACATGTGAAACCATCGAAATTCTACGGCGTGAAAGGTCACGTTTTAAAGGTGGATTATTTCAATGCCACGCATGACCCTCATCAGCCAGCACAAACGAAGGACATCAATAATTTTGGAGGCACAGCTCAAGTGAAGTTCCACCCGGAACAGCTCTCCCCCTCTTGCAGGCGTGCACGTGGTCATGCTGATGACGCGCCGGAAGCACATCGAGCACGCGGATTCCTGGCTAGGCGAGTTTGGATGGGGGTGATGGGGTCCGGGCTTTCATGGAAGGAAACGAATTGGTGGTCCCTCACCACCCATGAATGAATGGTCCCCGATGGTCCCAATATATAGTGGTTCCTCGGTTTAATTGGTATTGGTTCCCTCCCGTAAGAAGCTCCATGGAACTCTCGACACTGCCGCCTATTAAATAGCTCTCCTCATTTAAGGATGGCTGCAAGCCAAAGGTAGCAAGGATCTCAAATCCTGCATTTCGGAGTGCACTCTTGAAAAAGGTTGAAATTGCTTTGCCTACCCGCTTACCCTTCCAGTTGCAGCCAAAACAGTTCATTTTGTTGTGAGATGACTGGGAATGGTGCAAACAAATCATTTATGTCTTTGAACGATCCAAACATGATTTTTCCCAACCTCTCTTGCATGTTTCTGTATCAGCAAGAGTGTGTCTCGCCTCATGCAGAGGTATAGTCAGTCGTCTGCTTACAGTAATTTATTAAAGAACACGGCTGCTTAAAGACATGGCGGAGCATCGCACCTCAGACAACATAACCATATGTAGGTTGACCTCCCCCTTCTTCTTTTGAGGAATCTGTCCATGTTCGGCGGGAAACACCACCTTCGCGCAGGTGTGCGCAGCGCGTGCGAGCGGTTGCTGATGGAGCGACAGATGGCTTTGAAGGCGGGAAAGCGGAGAACGTCGAGGATGGCGGATGGGAGACAAACGTTTTGCCAGAGATCCAATGGAGCCGATTACAGAGTGAAATGGCAACAGGTGGTAACAAGTGATATTGGGCCATCACTGCAATTTAGTTTCCTGTTACCACTTTATTGATTGAGCCGAGTATGTAACACAAGTATACACAACGAATGTTTTAGTCGATTTGGCCGAACTCACTGCCCTAAGGCCGTGCAATCGAAGCTAGATTTTTAGGCGCACGAATTGTAGTGAAGTATCTACTGGTAGCTAGTCCAACATGTTACTGGTGTTTGGTCATCAGTTAGACCATCCCTCAAGTGATGCTGGCAGGGGGAGATGCAGATGTACCTTTGCTGCTTATTGCCGAGGCGGGGCAAGAGCATTCCCAGGTCTTCAGGAGTGTCTTTAGGTGGATTGGAGGGAACCAAGGATCCAGTGCATTGAAATTGCTAGCACCATCGCACCATCTGAGATTTCACAGTGGATACACCAAGAGAAGCGGAATGGGTGTGGATTTCATTCTTGGATTGCACTGGAATTATCCATAATGACCATAACACCTCCATTCCAAAACAATCTAGAAAGCACATACACCAGGGCCGGGTGGTTAATGGACACCCCTTAACCTCTACAGCAAGGAGCTATAATTAGACACCCCAACTTGTTATTGTTGCGGCATTAGACATCCAGACATCCAGCCATGCTGCGCTGACCTTTCTTCCAATCTCACGAGCTCTTCAGCTGGTCCCAAGCCTTAATCTCCAGCCTCCGTCCTCCAGTGGCCATGCGGCGTATCATGCAGCGTTTCACACGGCGAAACTTTGTAAATCCTCCCCGACCGGAAAGACCGCTTTTAAGGGACGCGAGGGAAAACCCACCACTGGATCAGGGAAAACGACCAGTGGCGAGGTCAAAACCATGTCAAAACCTATTCTCATACCCAGATTCCCAGATTCAAAGCGAGCTAAAATTCTCTTCCTCATATCAGGCTCCTCCAGTGTGGCTGTTGCGTGGAGCAGGTTTTGGCCCTTGAGATGGTTCTGGCGCTATCGCATGTGCAGTTGGGCGCGGCTGCTGGAGGAGGAGGAGCAGACACAGGCGGCGGCGAAACGACGGGGAGGTGAAGATGACTGACTCCGTCGTTGTGGTGACGCCGTACTCGGTCGCACGGTGCTTTTAGGAAATGGCATGGTATGTTCCGTCGTTTCGAACGCCGCTTCCTTCCGTCCACTGCTTCCATCGAAGCAGACAATTGACTGAATGGGAGGCACTTTGTCCTGAATCTTTGGGTGTAATGTAATGCAGACTCTTGATGAATAATTCATAACATCCCCGTTATGAAGAGGTTTTACAATCATCCAAGTGGGGGGTTAATAATCAAGAGTCCTTATATTATAGAGCGTAATCTTGTTCATGTCTCGTTCCCATACGTGATCTAGCCTGCTGGTCACATCCTCTCAGTAAACACACTCAGGTGCACATCCTCTCCTGCACCAAGTGGTCCAGCTTCTTCCAGAAGATGCCGGGGGACACTGAGTGATGTCTTTCTTCCAACGTCTCCCACTCTCAGAAGAGGAGCAATGACTGAGGGGGATCGTCTGGGATCGACTGAGGCAGATCCACAATGATGGGCGAGCGCACACCATGGTGGCTGGGAGCTCAGACGGAGACGGTGTGGATGAGCGACATGGCCTGGGGTCTTCCAGAGTGGTTCGTGGTCGAAAAAAGGGTCCAAAGGACCAAATGCCCGAAAGCGAGTTTGAAAGAAAGACAGGTCTCTAAAGAAAGAAATACCAAAAAAGGGTCTTATCCAACGAAGCAGAGTTCGGAACACCAAAGAAGGAAGAACCCCAACGACGGTGCCGCTGGCCGGAGTGGTCCTCCGCACCACCGGTCTCCTTTGCTGCTGGCCCTGCAGATTCACTGGTATCTCTCCCTTTGTGTATCATCATTTCATATATATATTTTCATATTTTGGTATTGACAGGGTCATTATCGTTCGTTTCCTTTGCGGTTGTGTCACTGGTGGGCCTTAACTTCATGCCACAGCTGATGGCTATGGTGGTAGCGCCGCTAGCCGTAGCCATCTTCCCACCGCTAGCCGGTGCCCCAAACTTCATGCGTTGCATAGAGCAAATTTGCACCCTGTTTTGGAGCACCTTACTGACGACCTTCTCTATCTTCTCTTACGAGTTCGTAGCTTTTTGGGTGTTTTTCAGGACCGCACGGGAACCTCGGACCGCACGGGGATCGCAACGATCCCCTGAGATACGCAACGATGGAGAGATTCTTTGGGCCTCGCCCTGAGACGGTCGGGCGGGGCTGAGCTGGATGTGGCGGGCTTTGGGCGTTGAGGTCCGTTGAGCTCAGCGGGCGGTCATCTCTTCCATTAACCTGGGAGGTAATGAAAGCCTGTTTGTGAGCCGTGTTGTGGGAGTTTGACAAGAAACCAGTTTTAAAGGGGCGACTTTCCAATGTAATATTATGATATATTTATAATGTATCACTATTAAATGAAATGTATTAATTTGTATGTCAAACATTTGGTTCTTCTCCTCTCCAAAATAACTAAACCCGTATCAACGTATATGTATATAACACATAGATTGGGGGATGTTAAAACCATCAGGGACACGCGCACGCGAATCCTTCCATGTTATATCTACAAACATAGTGATGACGATACTACTTGGCAATTTAATTTGAGATAGCTATTATGCAAAAAGTAAGGACCATTAAAGACCTGCTGTTTGTTTGGAGGATTTTGCTGCGCACCCTGTTGGAATCATAGGGTCTGTACATCTACATTTCTTCCGTCTACAGTGCCGGACCCGACCTCGCAGATGGACCAGGACGAGGGTTCAGAAGCAATGTGGATGACCTCTACAAGTGTTGCTTTGCGAAGCAGACGAGGGTTCTGAAACTTCAGCCAGTTGATTTGTCCGAAGTGAAGTGTTTATATCAGATGTGACGTGGTTGACCAAAGCGCTCAGAGGCGGATCTCACTTGGAAAGCCACATTTCATTTGTGGCGCTTGGCTTAATGTGCCACACTGTACCATCCTAGGTGGGCCACGACCGTTTCCAAGAACAGTTCCACGAGAGGGTCTTGAGCTCAGCTGGTCAAGACGTCCAAAAACATGGTGTTTTCTTCGTCTCAGATCATGCATCGAACGTTGCGGGGGTGGACGGTAGTCGCTAGGACTCCCATTTTGATTTGGTCGGAGCGAGTGCTAGAGGGTCCAAAGTACCTTCTGAGGAGGTGGGGTGATAGGATTCGCTGCACAGATTCAGGAGCCTTCAGAAGGTGTATTCTGATGTTCTCGGTGTGAACTACGCCTCGTCGACGACCCTGGCCGAATCCGAATCCAGTGGATCAAATCTGGAACAGTTCGATGCTTAGTCACTTCATGTCACTTAGCCACTGCAGTTGAAGCTACTAGGAACAAGATGGAACAAGGGCATCTCTACTAGTAACAAGGGCATTACTACTAGGAGTGAATAGCTATTAATATTAGTAGTAGACCGGTTCGGGTAGCTGGCTTCTGTACGGTTCTCGTTGATCAACTGCGTCAGCCAAAGAATAGGCTTTTTGGTCTTGTGTTTGACGTTGCCATCCAAGACCGGTTACAGCAGAGCCCAAACACTCTGTCTCATGGACAGACATGAATCGGTACAGCAGTGAACCTGACTATGAAGATGACAGAATCAAAAACTCTGGATCGGTGCTGAACGGAGGTAGTCGGGGTGCCCGAACGTCGCATCCACACCGGTAGTCGGGGCGAGCCACACCACCCTGGGCCTCCATGTGACAACCGGATCCCAACTTTCCACTCCTTCAGGCTGTGATGACCATGTGACCATATGTGACCCCCTGGAACTCGAACGATGAGACGACCAGCCACTCCCAACATCGTTTGGTGGTTTCCACCACCGACCTTTGGGTGGTTTCAACGATGGCCATTCAGCCACCCGACGTTGGATGCTCCAAAACCACGCCAAAACGCGACGCATCCGGCGAAACCTCCGTCCAGAGCGGTCGAAGGAAGCGGTCGACGGAGCGGTCGGCGGGGAAAACACGCCCCACGCGCCGGTGTTCTTTTGCTGAGGAAATGGTGAATGTGGTGAATGAAGAGTGCCAGTCGCGACCTGAAGAATGAACGACAAGCAAATTCCAAGTGCGAAGAAGCAGATATGGCCCGTCAAATATGAATCAAGGAACATAGCAGCATTCCATAGCTTTAGAACCTGAGGGAAAAGCAATTCCTTTGAAATGAAGGGCGAGTTATTTTTTTTCCCAGCCCTATCACAGCTTCTGAGGGTAGCAGCATTCGCGCGATACACTACCAAATAAAGAGCAACATCAATATCGACCGGGTCAATACACGGTAAAAAACCATAAAGGATACGTGGAGGTTCGGCAAACAAGCTTCCTCCAAGCCTCACGACATGCCTCATGTTTCTTTTAGACCATGGGTTGAGAGGATAATGGAAGGTATGGTTCCCATGTTTAGATAAGGACGGGAGTATGAGCCGCGAACAAGTACCAGCCATCGTTCGTCCACTTAGGGTCCAGTCGTTATGTGTCATTCTTGAGCTCAAGCTGGATGTAGCTGAGACTAGGTTCAATCTATCAGCTCAGACTTATGGACCATTCAGGTGATAACCCAGATGCTGGCCCATCCGAACTCTTTATGGACCATCCAGAGAGTCAGGCCACCAGGCCACGCGCTCATTTTTTTTCGATGCGACCGCAGGAGGTGGCCCTTTTTCTCCATCGGATTAACCAAAAGAAGCTGGGAGAGGCGAGTCTTTTGGACGTTTTGGACCCTTTTTTCAGGTCAGGAAGCCAAAACTCGAAGCTGAAGAGCTTGGCTTCGTCACCTTGAGAAAGTGGTGTGAGGAGATTCTGAACCTTTCTCCCTAAGATTCCCTACCCTTCCGATGGCTTGCCTTTCTTGGAGGCTCAGTTGGGATGTCACTGGAGCCATCCCAGGTCACGCGAAGACGCCAAGCTGCTGGAAGGGGGCGTCACTGGAGCCATCGAAGCATCCGAGGAGTTGACTGTCGCGGCAGGTGTGACGGTCTGGCGTTCGCCGATGTGACCATATTGGGAATGCCAGTGGTGAGGGTCCTCCCTTCATTCCACCAGCGCGGGAGCCAGAGCACCCTGTGAACGGACTGGGAAGTTACTTCAAGGCCCCCTTGGATGGATTGTGCGTGTCCATGGATCCTGGGGATCCTGGTCGTTTGCACTGGTATACCGTCCTGATCGAACGGATTTGATGACATTCTCACAGGCCAGCGGGGGGAAGCCACCTTTCACGAGGGGTTGAACATCACAAGATGGAACGACTCCACCATCGACCTTGGAACGGGAAAAAGAACGAGACCCTTTTCCCGAAACGGCCGGCGTGGCCAAATCCAGCTCGTCACCGGGCCGTTGCCGCCGCGGCGTCGGAGACGGAGACGGAGTCGTCGCGTCGTCTTTCTCCGCCGTCGCGGCAGGAGACGGTCGAGTCGATGCGGGTCAAAAGGGAGCGGATCGTGATTGGGTGACGGATCTGCTGCACCTCGATGGCAACAACAGATGCATAGCGGGTTCGACAGGTTCGACCCTAACTACACACTTTTTACCTTTGAGGGTCAATGGCTGATTTTGAATTGGGGCTGACGGACGCAGACCGCAGGACTCATTGCGTGACAGAACCGACCCATCGAATGACGGAGAGTGACTCTATTAAGTCACCACAAAGTTCCACGAGCCAAAAAAACAGGACCCGCTCGTTTGTGGGGCCAAAAAATGAATTCCAGGTCCCGCATGCAAGCGGTCCTGCTGTTTGAAAGTCTGGACCGGGATTAACTTGTGGCCGCCAAGTCCCCGTCCGTTCACCAGTTACAATGTGAACCGCTACTTGTGTGTGATTCGCTAGTGAAGACGCAGTGGAACTTTCGTATACCTTCGTCATTTATGTGTGGACTTGATGACTATATGTGTACTATTTCCACCAAAGACTACATACTGCATCATATTGCACCACTGAAATAGGAAATTCCTTTTCGTGTCACCAAAGGACCATTCTTTCAGTGGACTTCCATGGTATATATTTGCTGTGCCGTGATGAGGACAAAACACACCGTTCGCTCGCGTACCGATGCGAAGGGCGATCGAACGACTTTTCCATGGGTTCATGGTTCATCCGTTTTTCTGATTCTTATCGATTCCTTGTAAGCAGTTGTATGACAAGCTGCTGGGGTCAATCGCCAATCTGCTGGTGTTAGTGCTACATTTTTTTTGGCCGCATCCAGCCGTTTTGCCGTGAAGCCAAGCGGTTTTGGACAGTGCTCACCCGTCGATTGGACAGTCTCAAGTGATTTGTGATGATCGATAGGAATGTCCCCACCCTTTGTCCTGCGTTCAACCCACTTTTTTGGGAGGCTTCACAAAAATGCTGCTTTGACTAGTATGGATGACTATATATATAGCAAAAATACCAGTGCTTTCAGCACTAGCTAGTTGTCAATATCCACAGCAAAAAGAACACTGTTTGTCATCAAACCCGCTCTGTCTCTTCAGTGTATAGAACAGCAACTTGTTTTGCCCATCGTTTGCCAATTGGTGGTCGCGTGCAAGCATGCTCAGGGGCCAGAGGAGTAGGATCCAAACATCATCTGATCTGTAGTGTTCGTCAAACCTACATCACCAGGTATAGACTTGTAAAATCTGGGGGGATTATAATTGTTACATGTCGTCCTTTTTCTTTCTTCGCGCCAAATTCACAGCCGCGACCTCGAACTCACGAGATCAAGTCTGGCCATCCATGCGATGCTCGCGCGGATCCCGCTCGACTCGCCGGGCAGATCCGGTCGCTGCGCGCCGAGCTGGCCGCGCTCGCGCGGACGGTCCGCGCGGACGGAAGGGACGCTGAGCAGATGGAGACCACAGAGGTCTGACCAAAGAGCCTGGAAGTGATTCAGATTTGGTGGAGGTCTGACCAAAAGAGTGCTCAGCGAAGCCTAGATAGACAGTGGCCAGTGAAAAGAGTAGAAACTGTGGCATGAAGCCACTAGCGAACTGAACTGGTTTGGTTGAGTTCATGTTGAACTGCTTTAAGGATCTTTAAGGATTTTAAGTGAGTGTACCACTTTGGCTCAAATTCATTTGCTACTCTTTCACCTTGCTGGTGGATTGTGTGACAAATTCTTCAGTGATTGAAAGCTAGATATGAATCTGCGCTCACCCGTCAGTCATTTAGAGTTTCCTCCACGGTCTAACCACGCCACGTACGGTCGATCGGCCTCGAGGGGTCCTGAAGTGAAGAAACTGTATCTGCACGGAGTTCGGGTGGTTTATGGACGTTCCATCCAATAACCACCCTTTCCGGTGCTGGGTCTTGCCAACTTAATTAAGTTCAAGCAGGTTCAATAATGCAAGAGAGAGATAAGCATCGGAGCACCGAAGACATTCCCCGTCCCCTTGTACTTAGTTTTAGATTGCATTTGTAAGCTGTCTACTCCGTGACGTGACATATGATTTCTGTCCTCAATTGTTGTCAATTGGGTGGCTTGGCATTTTTCGAGCTATGTCTCATGTGCTCCGAGAAAGGCGCCGGTTTGCGACTCAGGACTCTTTTTGGCCGTTCTCGTTGCCCTGCCACGATCGCGTGCCAAGCTCTACACACGGCGCCCAGAGCTGCGGAGCACGGTCGCTGCAGTTGCGGAGGTCGTGGAAGTTGCGGAAGATTCCACGGTGGAGGAGGAGCCGTGGCTTCAGAGCTATTTGAAGCCGCTTGGATGAAAGGGATGAGTGTGAGTGATTTAGGATATTTGTAGCCTTCCAAACTCCTCAAAAGGAAGAGGTACAAAATCCCAGTGTTGATCCGTAGATTCCGTGCCAAGGCAGGCAAATTCCAAGCCACCGGCTGAAATCCGGCAGCTCTTTCTTGAGGCGGTGAGGCGCGGCTGTGACATTTTGGTCGGTCCAGTCAGTTGACACATCCCAAAGTAGAAACGTTATGAAGAGTAAATCGATCGCTTCAGGCCACTGGCCAGCTTTTCGTCATTTACTCACTCATGAGGCCATTTATAAGAATTATAAGATCTATAGCCGTCTATAGGACAATTGCGAACTAACATACTTCTTGAACCTTTGGGATGCAAAAGAGGCCATTGCCCTGGAGAACCCAGATCTCTGGGGGGTTGAAGCTTTGCTCAGACTTGATGGAAAGGCAAAAACAAAAGGTTCGCAATGGTTCCAAGCATGAAAGCCAATCAGTGGCTCCTATAGAGGCTTAGACAACTCACCGGCTACGTTTTGGTGAGACGGGCACCGATGCTGCAACCAAAACCACCCTCCCGGATGGTGAGACCGTCGCTGGAAATCCTTTTCTCGAACGTCCGCTCGAGGGAGCGGGGCTTGGAGCTGTATGATGCACAGCGCGAAGCGATCGAGCAGATCTTTGACGATGTCCACGTGGTGTTGAACACTCCAACAGGTGGGAGATCTTTAGCTTTGGCGTCCCAGCGATCCGCATGGTGTCAGCGTCGTTTACCTGGGACTCAGTCATCCCAGGCGCGGCACCGTTCGCCGCTCGTCAGGGAGCGGTAAGTCGCTGGTGGCCATGGCCATGCTCTTCCGCGCCGTAGCCGAAGAAGCACGGGCCTACTACACCTGCCCAGTCAAGGCGGGGCCGAATGGAAGTCCAAAAGGACAACCTAAGGAGTCAACCCCCAAGAGGTCACTCTCCAGGTTTAGATGGATTTGGGTATAATCTTGCTTTTGATAATAGTTACATTCTCGAGCACCCGAGTGGACCGCCAGTCGTGTATGTGGTATATTTAATATTTGGGTTCCACCCTTGATTGGTGATCTCTGGCGTCTCGGGGTGATCCCCTTAGCTTCAGCCCTTGGAACCGGTGGAAAAAGCCGCTGCTTCCCGCCACACGGAGGGAGGGAGAGGGAGAGGGAGAACCCTCTGTTCTCCGTCCGATGTGTTGGGTCCGCACGAGGGCGATCCAGGAGTTATATCGGTTATATAGAGGTTTAGAAGAATTTAGAAGCCATGTTCAGCGGCTTCTGGCCATTTTTCATACTTTGCTGTGAACAAATACAAAAAAACTCTCTGGGACGTCCCAGGGCTGCAAAACGGCCACACCGCGGACCGCAGGCCTTGGTGAGCGAGAAGTTCTTCGCGCTTTGCAGGGACTTTGGCTCGGAGCTCATCGGCTTCTTGAAGCAGCAAGTTAAGCTCATCTTGAGTGGGAGGGCGGTTTGTAGGTCAGAGCGGTCTTCGACCCACTGGCTGCCATCCACTTCCATCTGCTCAAAGTCTGATGCAGCATTGGGGTTGGGATTTGGAACATTGGCCCCCGTCCCCTTTTTTTCCCTCGGTCCCTGGTCACCGATACTGAAGAAGAAGAGTGCCGCGAAGCTTTGTGGTGAATTTGCAGATGCACTCCCTGGAAGCGTCATCTATGTGGAACATCGGGTCCCTTGGAAGGCCCTTTTCCTCTACACACACGGGGTGAACTCACTCTACTTCCATGTTAGTTCCAGGGAGTGTAGTTCGTGTCACTGGACGCCAGACAGAGGATCCGCGAACATCAGTATGGGTGTGTATTAGAATACCGATACCTCCAAAAGACCCCTGGAAGAAGGGAGATAGGCCAAATGGTGCGGAGTCAGCCTGAGACAAGGCATAACAGGTAGAGCGAGTCGGAGGTGTTGACAGAGCAGACACAGCATCGGCATCGCCTTCTGAGAGAACCTAGACGCATGTCGACAAAGCCAACCCAGCAATGCGAGAGACTGCGAGAGTGATTTCAGGTACACGTCTTTTCGCGGCACTGCAACAAACACTTCCACTTGAAGACAGCGTTCCAACTTGTCAACGACAGCGTAGACCAGGTGACGAGACGAAGGGCCCAAGAAGTCCGGCCACCCATCCATCCGCACACTGTGGAGACTGAACGAACGAAAGGGCACCGAAAAACGAGTTATGAGTTATCAGCATCCAAACAAACAAGCTCTCCAGCGCGCTCCAACCAAAACCACCCAAACACCCACGCAGTCATTCGGAACGGCCGTGGACTGCGCATCCTTTCGAACTTGCACGATTGAGCCTGCGAACACCGATCCACGCTAGCGACCACTGGGCTCCGTGTCCCTGTTGAGCAGGCTTGCTCGGCAAAAGAGCGCGCAGGAAAGTGCAAGGAGTTCCGTTGTTTTTGTAAACATCTTAGAGACCATCTACCAAGAGGCAAGTTCGTTTCTTTTTTCTCGTGAAACCCTCATCAAAAACGACCTCTTGGGGTGTCAGTACCCTCTACTCTGAAACCTTCTGAAACATCCTCAAACTACCAGCACCACCCAAAGGTTGGCTTATAGACCCCCTGAAGATGCATGTTCCATTTAACCACCTTTTGGCCGAGGAATGGCTACCGGGGACGTGAGCATCAACTCTCAGGTGCCAAGGGCGTGCGTGGGGCGCTTGGGTGTGTGGCGGTTCCTTGCGTTCGCGTGGCATGGAAGGTGGTGTGCCTTTCCCTGCAAGAAGCATGGAAGTGGAAGAAAGGGCCATCCACTTCCATGTCCACTCTGGAGAAATAGGATGGTTGAAACCAGATCTCTTTTTGGACACGGCTGCGGATTCCTTGGGAGTGTCATGGAGTGTCTATCATCTTCTATGAGGTTGCTTCAAGTGGACGACAGGTTTGCATGCACAGCGCCGCCTGACAGGCCCAAATGTGATCATTTCATGCAGATGTGGCCATTTTGGAGAGTGTTCCCGACCAAAAACCTGAGACATGTCCGTGTGGAGCATAGAACCACTTCAGCCATACGGACGCGGGTTGTTCCTGGTCGGACCTGGTCGGAGCGGCGAGGTTGTTCCTGGTTTCGTCGCATCTCTTGGTTCCGGCGTGACCCGGTGGGCTTCACGGGTGGTTTCTGAGGGTGTTGCGGGGGAGATGAAGCGAAGAATTTCACGAAAGGCTGAGATCGTGGGCTTCTCCCACCCATTCCATTTGTCCGGATCGGCTTCTCCGACCGCCGACACGGCGCCATGGGGCGATGGAGGAGCGAACGGGGTGCAGCCAGCACCAGCGGTCGCGAGTTTCCCCACGCGTTTCCGGGCGAAACCGAACACAGCGGTTTCGGAGCGAATGTGAGGCCTCCATCATTTGCTGCACTGCAGAAGTCTTGGCCAACGTGGCCCTGCGTGGAGCCAACCATGACCTTCAGTATGCGGCACGGCGGCATCGCGTCACTGAGCACTGGGCATCCGATATCCGAAAACTGGGGGTGGCAGATGAACACACTGAAGCAGCAAGAGTGAGCCCTTCTTCATGAAAGAAAGGCCGGAATGTTGCAAGCCAAAACTGCACATCAACAATGGATAATAATGAACCTGTATTGGCACATATTGGCACCACTTCAGGTACCTGGAATTGACTAAGAAAAGCCGCGCACGGAAAGCCACGCACGTAACTTCCGGTGGCCTCCGTCACCCGCCTCACCGCCTGATGAGGCGGTCATGGATGAATTCCACTTCTTCGCGGACAAAGGACGGCGACCACGGTGGCGCCGAGGTTTCTGTTCAAGACCATGAGTGCACGATGGCGTGAAGACATGCATGGAAATGACGAGAGTACTGGGTCCGGGTATGGAATATTATGGATTATGATTCTTTGAGGGTCGTTTTTGGGCTTCAGTTTGTGAGCACTGATGGAGCAGGATCTTCAAGTCGATGTTTAGATCAAGCAACCCAGGATTCACCCCGATTCATCCCATTTAGAGAAGAGACTTCCCAAATTCAAAGCAATCCAATACGTTCTTATTTTTGCAGTGGTTCCTGCATGTCCTCATCAGTTTCCAAAGACTTGCAACACATAACGCCCTTATTTGGCATCGTCCACTCGATCCTTTTTGAGGTTCCTGACTGTCTCATTCGTTGTGACTGTCAGGCCGTGGATATGCATGGGAAGTGCCCCTCTTCCGCCTTCCACAGGCGACCCCTTCTGAAGCTCCACTCCACCATGTTTCACCGTGTTTGTTCGCCTACAGTTGAACCAAGAGTAACAAATGACGCACCAGTGTGGTCGTTGGAAACCGAAAGAGACAGAAAGAGAACGGGAGAACGGCTGGTCGCGCACTGGTCAAATCTTCACCTCCCAAGCTGCTGGGCGCGTGCTTTGAAAAAGTTGAAAGGCCCCAGAAGTTGTGGTGTTCAGTCTTTGTGGGGAAGATCCAAAGATTAAAAAAAAAAGAAAAATAGAAATAGAGAGAAACACACATGGAAAGCACCTCCGAAATCGTTCTGATCCTTCGTTTCGAGCTTTTTGATGCATTTTTGATGCTTTGAACGAATGACTTTTGGGACCCCGACCCAATCTTCTGCTTCATTCCGGGCGGCAAGGCGACGGGAGAGGTACCTGTGCCTGATGGTAGTGAGATAGTCAACAAAACGCATGGTAATTACAGATGGTCAACGAGCGCATCTTGTAGTTGAAGGTATAGATTCCAGGTAGATCTGTGGGTAGAAACGAGTAATTATATTATCATGGAGTTGCTGCAGGTGTCTTTTGACATCACTACGCGAGGTGTCCCCGCGGGCGCCTGGTGCAGGTGACGTTCCTGTTGATGTCCGCCACCATGGGCCGCAACGAGGCCTTGAACGCCAACCTCGAGCGCTTCACAGGGAGAGAGGTGTCGGTGGTGACGTCGACTGAACGGCCGGTACCCTTGGAGTCTCATCTGCGGTCGGAGTCGAAAGGCGGTTTCGTGTGAAACGAGGGCAGCCTTGGAGGGTGGCAGCCTTGGAGGGTGGAGCCGTTTTCGAGTTTTCGAGCTTCACGTGGTTAAATAAACGTAAGCTGAACAGAGCCTCCATTTTGCCATGCAAACTGGAATTCTTCCACTGTGCTCCCCACGAACTGATCGGTTCAAGGAAGAGTAGTATATTGATTGTTCTTCAATCTTTGGGGGTTTTGTGAGGCTTCTGGTCGACGGGTTAAGCTGGGCGGGTCAGGTGTTCTTCCGGTTGCGTTGGACGAGTCTTCAGAGATCTGCCTGAAAGCCCTGGCAAGGTGGGCTAACAGATCTACAGAAGGATTCGGCATATTTTATGATGTATAGTATACACTCCCCTTTCAAAGACCAAGGGTTTCTTTGAAGATTGAAGATGTTATTCCATCATTGGACATTTGCTAAGACGGTTTGTTCTGTGCTCACTCGACCCATTCCGATGGTTCCTCACCCATCGAGGATTGGTCGTACCTCTTCAAGAACGTCCGAGAGGCGATGGTTGGGGCACGGCCGCACCGAGGAACCGGGTGGAGCCAGGCGCAGGTCCTGCTCCCGGCTCCGGGTGCAGCTCCCCAAAAGCTACTATAAGTAGGTCGTCAGGTCCGTGAAACACCACAAAGACATGGAGTCCGCGTGCCTTTTTCTCTAAAATTCGTCGACATGGAACTCATCGAACTCCAAGGGATCTCCCGCACAGGTTCCCAAACTTTGAAGGTGCATGGCATACTGCGAATGGATCACGCACATGTCCTCTCATGTGAACTTCACTTGAGGCAAGCGGCATACCAATGTCTTTTTGTCTCTGTTCAATCCCCAAATAACAAAGACACCCATATACACTCATACCTGGACCTTCAAGGGGTGTCCAATGGAGGTCCCTTAGTAGTGTAGGGGCTTCCAGCCAGGTGACCCCTTTGAAGGTGCTGGTAGTTTGTTAACATGTTATAACCATTGTCTCCTGGTTCTGAGCCCTTGGGCCCAATTGCAGGCGATCTTTGAGTTGGTGGCCGATGGCCGCGCGCCGATCTATGTGGTGAGCTTCACACAGGATGCGGCTGCCACGTTGGCGCAATCGTTGATCACAAAGGACCGGGATCCAACACCTTGGTGCATGAAGAGCGGCGAAGTGGGGGTGCGGGTTGAATTTCGTTGATTTTGGGTGTAGAGCCTCCAGCACACCGCTTTGTTGGGATCTTTGGTGGTGTTCAACATCGAATGAGCGGTGGATGCCGGTACTTTTCCGATGTTTTTGGGTTCAGAACCGTTTAGATCCGCCAATTCCTTGCATGGAAAGCTTCCAACTCTTTCAAAGATCAGAAGCTTCAGGGGAGCCTCGCCGATCCGAGGCTTCGCTTCTAGACGAGCTCGGTGGAAGTCGCCCATCCGATCCGTCCTGGTCACTGGATCGAGCGATTCAGGTTTCCAGCACTCCTGGGGGACCGATCGGCACCCACCCGCCGAACCGAGGTCCACGGAGGTCGTTCGGAGGTCGTTGGAGTCTATCGGGGTGCATCACACCAAGGCCGTCGTCGACCTGGCGCCGTGCCAGGAGTTGGCACCATCGGAGGAGCAGAAGCACACCTTGTCCGAGGCCGACCGATGATCGGAGAGCCGGTGCACCGGGTCGGGTCGACGGTTTAGTCACCAGAGGTGAACTAAGAATCATTATGTTTTTGATGTTTCAAAAGAAGTACCTTGAAAAAATTCAATCAGGTCATTTTGAGGTGGAAGCTAGTCTAGCTAGACAGATTTTCTCGGCATCCTTGAGATTTGGCCTCCCCCCAAATAATGAACATGTATAACATAAATGACAAGTCTAAAGCCTTGTACGGACAATGAATTTTGTGTGTACATATTGATTGTTATATAGTTATAGTCAATCACATCATACTGCATGCATTTTTCTGCAGTCTCCCGCATGCACAGTATTGCATAGTAGCAGTATGATAGTGATATTAAGTGATGTCGAGCTCTGAATCACTGGAGGAGGAAACCCTGATGGGTTTTCCAGCCAATTCTTCGGCCAAGAATCTTTCACAGACTTGTTTTACAGTTTGGCAGTTTTAGGTGGTGAAACCCTTGCATAACCCTTCAAACTTTCTTCCACTGGAAGGACAGCGGCGTAGCCAGGAGTTCCAGTTCTTGGGGCGGTTTACCCATCACACGTCGGATAAACGTTTCTTTTTGTGGAGATTGGAATCGCACGTCGTGCCGGTCCAAAATCATCACCCATAGAGCGCTAAGACCTTCACACAGCAGTGGTTGGGGCTTCCATGAATCTATCAGAAGAGCTTGTTTTACTCTTACAAGCCTTTTCACATCTTCTCACCATGTGAACCCGGCACATTTGCAAACAACGATGCTTTCACCCGGACAGATTGAGCAGCTCAATCAAAAAGGCAGCGACCACGTGGTCGCTCCCCGAAGACCTGTGGCTGGAGGCCATGAAGTCCACGGACTTCGACACCCCCTACGGCCCCAGACGCTTGGAGAACGCTGGGGACGGGACGGGGGCTCGGTGATCCACTCTTTGTGGTGCAAAGGGGGGGTTTGGTTTCAGCACCCAAACTCAATTTAAGATCTTCTCCAAATTCAACTTGGTTCAAATCATTCAAACATGGCAGACACTACCCTCCAAGTATATATATATACAGGTGTTTGGCCACTAGTTATGGTTTCGTTTGTTGAAAAAGTCAAGTAATATTCCAGGGATGAGAGCTCGAACAGCTAGACTTCAACACATGTCAACGACCTCCAAATTCCAAGGTGAAACAGCACATAACAGCCCAGGACCATGCCAAACGTTTTCGGATCATCAATTTCTGAGTTGAAGCCACCTTACATCATTCCCACCTTCCTTCCTTCCACGCTCACCGTGGTGCACGACGGACCACCGATGTTGGAAGTTCCTGCACAGTCCATTCCCGGTTCTTCCGCCCAGTCCCACGAGGAGGGGTTCCCTCCCCCTGTCCCTCCAAGGTCTCCGAGCGCTTCTGCTGAATGGCATTGGTCTGCATCATGCAGGTGTTTGCGCCGTTGATGGAGAAGTTTCACCGGTGGAACACGGGGAGGTACTAATCTTCATTACCAGAAGGGGTATTTCACCTCTTACTTGCATGTCATTGTCATTGTTCAGATGATGTTGGGCACAACAACCAGCGTCAACCTGTTCTTCAGTGGAAGCAGGACCCTCAGACACCACTCCAATTGGCGACGGTGGTTTCACGGGTCCGTGTTGGCCATCGGTTTGACTGTGAGGTTTGATTCCAAAGTATCGGCTGCTGGTGGAACAGACGCACGGCGAAAGGAGAGGACCGGACGGTTTGCCAGGTAGGCGGCTGTTTTTTCGGCGGCTTGCAAGGGCCGGGAGAAGACCTTCCTTTCTCATCCTTTCCTTTGAAAAGAAGCTATTTGAGGAAACAGGTCAAACCATGCAAGTTGCAGATGGACAAGCAACCATGATCTATTTCTTTATTTCATGATGGATCCATGCCAGTTGCAGGTCCATCATATGATTCATCATCACACATGGTTTGATCATGTTTGATATACCTGGAGACAGGGTCCCCCACTGTAAAGTGGAGTATGGATGAGTGATTGGTGATTGGAAGCACGATTGGATATTGTATTTCTATCCTCATTTCACCTGGCAGAACCCCTTTCTTTCCATCCTCCCTCCCCACTCAAAAGGACGATGCTATGCCCCAAAAGGATCGATTCGCAGTGCAAGCTTGCTGCAATACTCCTGGATGGCCGGGGCCAATGCTTGGCCACCTGGGCTATTGACCATTGGGCTTTCGTTAACCTTCATTTTCCACGGAAGTCAGTACTGTATCCTTGAGGAATATGAGGAGTTTGGTACCCATAGCATCCCATCGCCACAGCTCCACCTATTTGACCCTCCATGTCGATGACAGTGTGCACGTCGCTCAGGATGGCACAGTCAGGACTGTTGACGTGCATTTGTGGGACTGACACCTTGGGTGTGGGGGTGAACGTGCCCATTCGTAGCGTGCTCTTCACGCAGCTCTGCAAGTACAATGGGGAAAGTACCGTCTCTTTGAGTCGGAACTCAGCGCTGTTCGAACGTTCCGCTCGGTGTTTTGAGTTCGGAGGGCGGTGCAGAACCAAACGACATGGGACGAACCAAACGACATGGAACTGCTGGCAAGCCTTTTTTGGGCTTTTTGTGCTTAAAGACTCTACTATCCAAAGAATGTTTCCAATGGTTACTAGTCTTTTTTTTGTGACTGGGAGCCTGCCAAAGACTTTTGATGTGAACTCCTTTGAATCGCATTTCAGTGGCTTCAAAGAGGATGGTTTCGGCTCGTTTGGGATTGTTTGAAAATCTTTCGATCAGTCTTTCGAACATTTCTTTTGCCTCTGCGAGAGTTGACGGCGGGAGGTTCGGCGGCCCGTTGAACGTGGCCCGTTCAACCAAGGCTTTGCTCTCTGCTCGTGACTTCCATCAAATCGCCGGCCGCGCGGGACGCAAGGGCTTCGATGAAGCGGGCAGTGTGGTGGCCGTGGCACCAGCACATGAGGTCTACAATCAGAAGCATGGCTTGATTGAGTGCCAACCTGTGCCAGGTGATAAACAGCAGGTTCGGCTGTTTCAAGGTGCTCTTGTTGAAAGACGATCAAACGCGAGCAGTGCCTTTCTACCTGCCAAAACAGGTGAGTCGTCCTGCCGCAGAGGATGGGTGGATTTCCATAGCTTTGATGACCCAAGAGACGTGAGGAGTGCAGGGAAATGCCCCGAATCCTTCCTTTTCACCGCCCCCTTTGGCTGAAAGGAGTCCTTATAAGTTGGTGATGAACTCTGGGGTGATTGGGGTACTGCAGAGAGCAAGTTGTCCGATAGGTGATAAGATTGCATAGAAGAAGGTTTATGGAAATACCAATATATAATATAGATGGCGGGGAGAAGGAGGTGTATTATTGTCATGCATCATTCTTCTGCAAAAATTGGATGCAACTGCAGCATGTCGTTTGTTTGGAGGACTCATCTCGCCGCTGTCGGACATCACTCATTCTCCATTTTAGGTTGCAAAGCTGTTCACAAGTAGGAGCAAGGATGCTATTAGGGGCTCCTGGCATCGCTACTAGGACCAGGAAGCTACGAACAGGGCTCCTGGCCGTAGAACTAGGAGCAAGGAAGCTACGAACCGAGCAAGAATCGTCTACCGTCCACGAAAAACCACTCCGGGACCCGCGGGGTCGTCCGAACGACCGAGGAAGCTGAAAGAGGAGATCAAGGAGATCCGCCGACGCGGCCGCCGACGCAGACGACGACGTGAGACGGCACCACGAGAGACGGTGACTCTGTGAGGGCTGCGGGATGACCGTATTTGTTAAACAGATGGATGGGATTGGATGGGATTGGTATCCCAAGTCATCCCAGGTTGACAAGTGCTGGAAGTTGCAAGAGGTTGCTATAGTGACTATGGTTTGGACATGTTTGGAATATGAGGGCATGTCGAATCGGAAGGGCTTAGTAGGAATCCATTTTGGATCCTGGGGGAAGATAGGAAGACGGCCATCATCTAATCATCTGACATCGGCTCTCATTTGGATAGGTGGTTCGGCTCTCGGCCCTTCTGACATGCACTCGGCCCCTGTCACCGGGATTTGTTGTATTTTTTTCCTTAGTGATTTGTTTTGTTTAGTTTTCCTGCGTCACCTTTGATCCAGAACATGCTTCGTTCGTCCTGTATAACGATAAAGGGTCACACACACAAACATGTGCGGTTCGGCATGCTCCGGATTTGTGCCAGCTGCTTCACCTGTTGAACTTGCGTTCAACTAGGGTCCGTGACAGGGCACATCACCAAAGGTGAGAAAGTGATAAGAATTGCAAAATCGATGCTCCCCAGGAGAAGGGAAAAGCTGTAGGATCCGCCACCACCTTCTGAGAAACAAGGAAGGGCCACTACCGTCACCAGCCGACCTTCTCAGACTGTGACAGTGGATCCTTAGGGAATGTAGCAAAACCGGAACAGGTTGCTTAGGAAATCTTCTTTTCAAGGGGCTGCAGATAGTTCCCACCCAATGTTAGGGGTGATTTGAAGCCGACTTTTGAACAACAACAACAACAAATCATCGCAGAATGCCTCCACGAATACCAGCTGAGCCAGTAGCTGAGTATGAATCGAAAGTGTCTCCAAATGAGGAGATTGAACCTTTCGGTACTCTGATAGGCACGCCAGGTACCTTGGTTTCCTACCCTACTCATCTGGACCGCCTTGGAGAACCCCCCGCTGCTACTGGGTGACTTTGCAAACTCGCCTTCTTCCTACTGGCCTTTCAGATTGCAAGCATCCAGCAACAAGCGGGGTACCATGTATCCACAAAAACTACCAAGAGTGGTTGAGAGACCTTGTGGGACACCACTGGCACATTAACGGTACATAAATAAAGATAAATATATAGATATATATGTGATGGGCGAACTACGGCTGTTCAACCTCCACTCAGCGGATGGCGGTCCTGACGGTCGTCACGGACTCCAAGCCGCCAGGAGAAGCCCAAGCAAAAGGCCAGCATCTGGCGACGTGCTCGAACACCTGGACCCAACTTCGTTCGTTGGACGCAGAAGACGTTTGAAGAGCTCACTGAGAGCAGCCCTGCTGCTCTGGAGTCGCAGTTCCAGTTGAGTCAAGGCGGGCGAGAACTCCATGTGCAAGTTGTTGTCTCGGCAGGTTGTCGGCAGAGGCCATTTTACTTTGGTTTGTAGGCAGTTGTTGTTGTTTTTTTGGAGGATTGCCAATTTAGAACCAGCGACCGGAACATCATACTGTTGTCCAATTTGGAGTGAGCACTCGATGTGGCGGTTTTCTCAATTAAGATTCAGATGAGCTCGATGAGCACGATGAGGTCTTGAGAAAACGTGTCCCGTGCTCAGCGTGTTCAAGCGTAGATGGCTTCAAACCATGGCTTTGTAATCTCTCATCCATTACAGGCCACCAAAGACCTTGTACAGTGAACCCCAACCTATGTGCCATGTGCCAATCTTCTAAAACCATGGGATAGGACATCATCATTGACATTGAGCGCCTAGTTTTGCTCACGTTGTACCCTGTTTTTTTCACCTCCGACCTCCCTGACCTTCCACTGGTCCAGTTTCGGCGTTCCGCAGGCCACGTGCTCAGCGTGTTGCAGGGCGCGCAGGAGCGCGCCGACGGCCGTGCCACGAGCGTGGACGGCACGAGCGCCTGGCACGGGCGCGAGGAGCTGCGAGAGCTGATTGAGCTGTCGGTGTGTAGCGAAGAAAAGAAGCAACACTGGCAGGAGCAGGCAAGCCGACGCGACGAGCCGTTTTCAATGCGGGGAGAAGTGGCGGAAAAACGACGGCGTGGGGGAGCTGGGGTGAAAGAGTTGTTCAGTAAAGGGCCCTTTTCGGGGTGTTTTCGAATTTTCGAAGGAGACAGATTTGACATTGACACTTGTTGACTTTTGTGAAGATGTTCCATGAAAATCCATACTGGAGGCAGACAGATTTGTGGCCCGACTACATTTGTTGCACTCCGATGGATGACACTGCCAAAACAGTAGGGAGCTTCTTTTTCGATTCGCATCGAGGACTCTCTCAGGACCCGGGTTTTGATGGATGTTGTTTGGGGTTTTGAGGGGGAGATCCTCAAAAAAAAGGGTGAAATCACTGGTGTATCTTGAGACTAGAAAACCGAAATGGCTCCTCGAAAGCTTGTGTCTTGTCTTTCTGAGTTCCTCTATGGCTAATTCACTGAGATTCCGTTGGTTTTATAATATATTATATGCATGTATACAGATACATATACACCTTCCACACTTGCGACTGTGGATCGTGAGGCCCTGTTTCAGTGCCAATCCAAAAATTCTTGTCTCATCAGGTAGAGAGCTACATCTCTGCACTGGGCGTCGCAGGGCTGGTGGAGTTGCATGGAGATGAGATCCGCGTCGACAGCACCCTGCAGCGTGACTTTCTGCTGATGGAGACTCAGCTCGGCTCGAAAGCGTCAATCGCTGGATGAGAGTGGACGCTGGAGAAAGCTCGATGGGTACAGTCGGTACAGTAGCTGGTGCGCTCGAGACCACCAGTCCTAAGTCTAAACTCCTCTGAAACGGGGGCCATGCCGGGCAAGCTTAAAAGCTTATGGATGTGTGTTCTATACGGTTCGATAATGGTTCGATAGAATGCCTGAAAAGACACCGGGAAAACCAGTGCGTAGCCAGTGTGTATTGGATGTATTGGACACCCCCAAACCAATGGTTGAGTTGCTGATCTTTAATTGTACATTAATCTTTCAGGGGCTGCACCCTCTTATGACGAACCACAAGCCAAAGTGGATTGGGAACTTGCGAACGTCTGGTCTGAAAGACAGATCCGGTGGGAAAAGCTACCCTCAGCTCTTCCCTTGGTATAGTACTGTAGCTTCTTTCTCTGGTCTTTGAGTTCCTCCCGACTGTGGCGACTGCGTATGCTTACGCCGCCAGTCCGGACCGTCTCGCCTTCCTCGCACTCCTCTCGTCGATCGCAGCCGGACCGTCTCCACCGGTGTCGTCTCGCTCAGCCGCGGGGGAAGGAACGCAGGTTCCTTCAGGCGGACTGCGCTTGGGTGTCCCTCGTAGTCATATGGATATGGGATGATACTGGGAGACCGTATGTATTTTTCATGGGGAGACCCCCATGGGATGATACTGGGTGGTCGAAACCAACAATGGCGCCATGGCGAGACAAAGTCGCTAGTCATTCAATCCCATTGGACGTTTGTTCTGATTGGAACAGACCATGTTTTGGCTGCGGCTCGAAAACAGGGTCACAGGTTCTAGCATGTTCTAGGTAGTGAACATTATAGAACAGGAAGCAGCTTTATGTAGATCATGGCGGGGGCTCCTGTGTGGGCTTCTATGGCTTCGGTAATGCGACTCATACCCATTATTGATTGCAAATTGCGTTCACTGGGATTTTCCATGGAATGGACTCATTTGATTCCCGAGGAAGATGTCTCTTTGTTTCTGGTGGATGTCCTGCCATTGTTCCAGTGGCAGAGATATGCATTGCGCAAAGCTTTCCTTATTTGATGAGTATTTGAGGTACTGTATATGTATTATGTTAAGTGTTCAGTGAGAGGAGAGTGAGAGGGACCAGTTTTGCAGTCATTAATGTATTAATCATTTTTTCAACGAATAGACGTGCATGTACAACACCAACACACACTGGCCATACATTCATCTCCATTCATCTCCACCGTCACTTTTCCACGTGGAACACCCAGGTGGAGATACTCAACAGACCCTCGGCGCTTGGCGAGGGCCATCTTGCAGGTGGTGGAAGCCCTTTGTGAAGGGCCGGTAGCGGTGATGCGAGCGCAGGCGCGCCATTTTTCGCGGCTCCGGTATGCGGAAGCGACGACCTAGGCGCCAAGCTTGGAACCTTGCGCCGGCAGCTCGAATGGGTTTGGAATGGTTTGGAGGTTCTCGACACCTTTGGTTTGAAGTAAGAGGTGTGCTGGTGTTTTATTTTGGTGGGGTGTTTGCTGAGGTGCCAAAGAGAGCTGCGAGCCAGGAGATGGCATGCCATCTCTCATGCATCCCACCAACGGATAGAATGTCGAACAAACATATGGCCAATCAAAAGAGATGACAGTGGGAATAGGAGGTGGATGTTCTTTGGTACAAAACGTCCAAAGACCACGCGTAATCATCGACAAGCAATGTCATGACTTCTTTTGCCAGGATGTTCTGCAGAAATACTGCTCATTTTGATGAATCCACTCCTGCACCTCATTTATAGTGTCATGACCTTGACACCATGATGCATCATGAACTATGTCGGGATGCTCTATTGGAGTTTCCTTCATGCAGGGTGCTCAGCTTCGAGCATCCTTTTACTTGGCACGCTTTGTTCCGCCCTTGGCACCCGGTATCACCATCCCCCGGTTCTCCATAGGCCGCGTCTCACTGCGTCCTTCGAAGCCTTTGACAGGCCCGGATCCGGGGTCGCAAGATGGACCGACTGCCCTGCGAAGATGTTTTGATGCCGGTGCCATGGCAGTTTTTGGACAGACCTGAGTTTAGACCGTTTAGACGCTGGGAGGGTCTTCAGCTCTGGATTTTTCAGCAGAGCATTGGATGTCCCATCGTTTGGGTGCAACATCTATCTTTTCCTCAAAATTCTGAGTGCGGAGTAGTGGTGATTGGAAGCAGTTGGAAGTACCAGTCTTCATGATCCAGGTACAGAAAACAGGCAGAAGCCTTGCGAAGTCTTCGAATGGGATCTCTCAAACAGTCCCTAATCCACCTGACCCAATCAAGTTGCGACTGCAGCGCCCTTCTAGAGCAAACCCTCAGAATTGACAGAATGGAATCCACGTAGATCCACTCAGAGGCAGTGTATTCGATGGGTCTTAGTAGCTGGTGGGATGACAGCCGTCCGTAGGAACTCATTGCAGGTGTACTGTGTAACCACTCGGTCTCCCAGAGACTAGACTCTTAGTTAGCTGGGACGCTTTCCCAGACGCCCTGGGACGCCCGTCGTGCATCGCTCCAATCGTATGGCACTTTCGTGAAATTCTCCAGTTCGTGTGGCCCACAACTCAAATGCATTAGGCAGAGGGGGGATGAAGGAGTTGGATCTCTTGTTCTCCTGACTGGTGCGACTCGCAGGGAATGAGGGTGGCTGAATCCAATAGAATCTCTATTGGGGGCGAAACTTCCCTTAGTCCCTACGAGTCGCACCAGTCAGTCCCTTACCGAGATTGTGAAGTCGGCAGAAATTGATTGATTGTAGACGCTTCACCTCCTCACCTCAAAGACGACGGTGCGAGAAAGACGCTGCAGTCGCAAACCCACCGAGGCATTTCAAAGCTTCCTGAAATCACATCCCCGGGTCTCCAAAAATGCGCTGCAACCCAAGAGTATCGCTCTTGAAATTTATGACGGGCTCCTGGGCTGAGATCATGTTAACATGGGCGGGCTACTGGGTGATCATGTGTGATGGGCTGCAAGGTCAAACAGGGGCCATGCACATAAGTTTCAAAGCATCGCTCACTCGAAGACCCATGTTCTTCCGGAGAAAAGAACAACGAATTGTGACCCTCCCATACAACATTCGTTTCAATCGGAACAGCTTCTTTGGGGGGTGAAAACAAGTAAGCGATGGATCTCACGCAGCGACCGATGGATCTCTTTCGATGGTTGGCCCATTCTCTGGGCCGAGACTTGAGGCTTATCCTTCACGGCTTGATCTTCAGACCTTGGAGAAGAGACCATGGTTTTTTCGGGTGCACGCCACTGATCTCTCCATGGACCTCCTAAAGCCCTATGGCTCCGGTCAAGAAGAAGATCTCATTAGATCTCAGGTTCGGTGGTCCAGCTTGGAAGGGCGAGATCAGCTTCTGGGGGTTCTCTGACTGCATCAATACCAGGCAGTGCATGCATGGTTTTTGAAACGTCAAAGCCCTAGGGCTCCCGTCCCTCCTGAGGATCGGATTTTTGGACCGGTACCCACCAGAACCATCTCACCGACCACGGTGGTGGTTCGACAGAGCCCTAGGGACTCATCACCGTTCCTCCAGAGACCGAGCCGGAGCCAATTCGGCCAAATCGTTGAGACGAAGGTCCAATCCGCAATGTGGTCCCCAAATTTTGAAAGAAACGGTTTCCAAGACATTCTTAGTATAGGATCTCTATAATTGCACTTTCTATTTATTTGGGGGAATATATATATATATAGGCATGTATAGATCCATATAGAGATATATAGGGTCTTGTTTTTGGGCCGCATGCGACTCAGCGACTCTACATTGCATTGAGTTTCAGGCGACCAACCCGACCACCCCCGTCGCAGACTCACAAGCCGCAAGCCGATGGGGCTTGGGGGTTCCATGTTCATTTGGGAGGTAGATTCTCAATCAGATGGATTCAAAGGTATGAATCAATTGCATGCCAGATGGTTTGAATCCATTCAGATGGTTTGACTCCATGCATGTCAGATAGATGCCAAACCACACCAATGGCGCTTGCACGGTGCGAGCAGGACTTTGCACGGGTGGCCCGAGGCGCTTGTCCTTCAAGGAGTTCTTGCAGAGCTTGAGCCATGTGGATCGCAAGAAGAAGACCATTCGTCAGGAGTGCAGTGCGGTCAGTTCAGCTTGGCTTAGGGCTTAGGCTAACTGTAAGTGGTATTCATGTACACTCCACAAGAAGATAACAAGCCGAACCTGTGTTGTAAGAAGAACACTTCAAAGAACTCATCCTCTTTGAGCGCCATCAATTCCACATCGGCAAAGGAATGTCATGAACCGCATTCTCTCACATCCACTGTCAGATGCTCTCTAAAGATAGCTGTGCACAGAGAATAGCAGTGGACGGTTTGGGGCCCCAGTTATGCCAAATTCGTGGAGTGCAAGCCGGAGAGCTGGACCCCACACAACAGTAGGTTGTAGAGGAAGGTTCGACATTCCCTTCCAGCGAACCATTGTCTTAATCTATGGTTGTGAAAAGAATTGGGTGCGCAAGTGTGTATGTGAGGAGAAACTTAGAAAAGCTACGGCGGGGCCAAGCAAATGGTTCCAACCCAAACTTTAACTTGGCCAACTTGATAGATTATTCATGAACGCTAAGGGCAGTCATACCTGATTAAACAAAAAGACAGCCCGCACGCACCATGCATACCTGAGACCAGACACCGCAAAACCTGTCGTCCGGCGACGTCTTTTCTTTCTGCGTCGTCCGGCTTGCCGCCGTGTCTCCGGTTCTTCTCCGCCAGGAGGGTCTTCTACTTCGCTACCTGTCGCAGGTTCACAAGACCTTGAAGCACAACATCCCCGATGAGTTCAAATACGAAGAGGTCCTCGACATCGAGGCGAGGGTTTCAGCCGGGGCACCGGGCTGGGAACGGGCGTCGGCTGGAAGGTCCGAAACGCCGAAAAAGAAAGAGCACGCTCGGTGGTTGCAGCACTGAGTCTGGTGGCTCTTCGGTGATATTCAGATGCGTGGAGAGCTCGCTACTGGGTATACAGGATCCGCTGGGCATTAGATCCGCAGAGCTGTTGCAGGCAACGCTGAAAACATGGCTCCCACCACTTGCATTGAGGGTAGGTAGATCAACTTGGCTTCACATCATCGTTGGAACATCACGTCCCCACAAGCCATCGTGCCAGTCCCCTCATCCATGCCGCTTGGGTTCCTTGTGCCCTGGGTGACTGCGCTCAAAAAGGCATACTTGTTGGCCATTATCAACAGCACCGATTCCAGCCTTCTTCGTGAGTGGGAAGCTTCGGCTGATTTAATGATTCATCTACTCTTTCAACAGATAGATAGATTGTTTGCATTTGTTTGCATGATATTACACTGCTGGTCATTGGGGTCGGTACCGACATGGACAACGAATGGAATTAAACCTGCTCAAGACCACTGACTGAGCGGGGCACAGGGGGCCGGCTGTTGTATATTATCAGGACCAGTGGTGTATTGTGCAGACTGCACCGTTTATGCGACAAATCTCCGGTTTACGATGTAGGATTCCTCAACAGTAGTGCTGCAGGGCTGAAAGGGTCGGTTCTCTTAGAGATACACCGACACACCCAAATATATGCCTCATGGGTCACTTGAAGCAAGCGATTCAAGTTGATTCAATCGATCTGTGATTTTCACAGTCCAGAGTGATGCAAAAGACTACATTCAAACCTTTGAATGTACGTCTTAGTATCACTTTGTATCGAAAGTCCTTGAGCAGGCCCTTGGAAACGCCAGTGAAAGATTCACAGCATCTCAGCGACGCTTCAATTCGCTTGGAAGGCCACCCAGGGCCACGCCTGGTGCACCGGCCTGGACACCAATCTGCCAAGGGTCATGGCACCAGGTCTGCCCCAAGCTCAACAGGTTGGTCCCACCAGCTCGGCAGTCCAAGCCGGTCGCACGGGTCGTCTTCCGGTGAAAACGACTTGGTCGTGCTTCGCTCAGTTCTCTCTCAGTGCTTCGCTCAGGAAGCCTTGAAAGCTTTGGAAGGCGTTGACTTCAAGGAGAGTGCTTCCGCCGTGACCTTGGCTGAGAAGGTCATCAAGTCCACGCTGTCGGGTGCCCCCGCCGGCGGCTTCGGCGCAGCAGGGAAGAGGGAGGGAGTGCTTGCTTCCGTGCGGAAGCTCAGCAGGCACCACAAGCTGTTGGTAGGGCTGGGGTGGTGATGTCAGATATATGCAACCGCATTGAATCCACTGACTGACTAATAATGACGAATATGTTTCAAGCGAGCTGAAATCACCAACCAGGATCAGAAGATCGAGGGCTCAGGTCTACCACTTCATTGACCGTAGGTGACTCGCAAGCTTCTGTGGAAATTCATAGGAAAAACACGGTGAACATATATACACCCGGGAAGATTACCATGGATCCTAGAAATGGACCTTTGGAAGACTAGCTTCCTCCACAAACCAGTGGTTTTTTTCAGGTTCCATGTTAATCTTCCACAGAGCATGTAATCCTGAAAGCATCCCTTATTAAACTTATGCCTAACTTATGCCCCATGAATAGAGTGGATAATGATGCTTAACGGTTTGCAAGGATGCAGAGTCGAGTCCTGACTCCTGAGAGGGATGATTGAATACACAGGTCCTCATATAAATCACCAAGTTTGATGCCCGAAACCCTGCTCTTTCTTACCGCCAAGAGGTGGTTGACTTTTCTGTTCATGGTCAGAAGAGTCTCCAACAGGAGTGTGGAGTTATGTGAAGTTGGGCTTTCAAACATGCCACCAAATCGGTGCCTGGATTTAGGTCGGGTCGACCAACTCAGCTTCAGCTCACCGAGGGACACCCCCCGAGTCTGAACTCGAGCTCCGTGCTTTGCGCTCGCGAGCACGAGTCGAAGCGCAGCGCTTCGCGCTCTTTCTGGCCATGGGCTGGTGGGAGGAGGCTGGGACGGCTGGTCTAGCTATGTGGTTTGCTCTGGAGAAGTTCGGTAGTTGGTAGTTGGTTGGTTAATGGGAGTTGATTATATCATACAACAGCAGCACCCGCACAAACCACCCCGAAAACCTATCCGAAGCTCAGTCTTTCAGGCTGCCTCATGCCTCCAAAACCTGGATGCCGCCACCATCCGTGCGCAGAGCATCCAGGGAGGCCGAAGGCCCTTGACCAAACGAGCGCAGGCGCGGCATAGCACGGATGTCCCATGGAGTTGCAGAAGTTTTCCGGTTGGGCGGCCTGGAATCCCGATTAGTGTGGCAGTTCAAGCTACTTCGCATGGAAGTCAGTGCGTATACACGTGACTTCCTGGCGCCTTTGTTGAGATGGGATGCATGTTTTCCTGGCGCCCACGAGAAGCAACATTTGTACCAACATCTTGGGTCAACGGGGGGGAGCAGACCCGGAAAGGCCGGCAACCTGAAACCGATGATCCAACATGGGCCCTGGTGGGATGCAGATGATCCACTTCGCTGATGATGATGATGATGATGATGATGATGA